ACAACTGTATTGAAATTAACCTTGTGGTTTAAAATAAAAACTTGACTACCACGTGACCAAAATATTTGAACAATCAACTGCTACAAATTTTAATATTATATTTTAGTAACTGTTGTGTAAATCTTTATTAATTATAACAAAAATGGCTGAAGCTGTTCATGCAGTTCTTGAGGAAATGATTCCAGAATTGGACGATCTTCAAAAGCGTGGTATTTTTGTAGAAAAAGAAATTAAGGAAATTGTTAAGCAAAGAACTGACTTTGAGTATAATCTTCACCGGAGAATTACTGAAAAGTCACATTATTTAAGATCAATTGAGGTATTTTATAATATTTACGTCTAAACAATTAAGTTCAGCCTAATCAATACTTATTGTTATAGTATGAATTGAATTTAAATGCTTTACGAGTTCTCAGGAAAAAGAGACTTGGTATCAAGCGCAACAATCTTCCCAGCGATTATTTAATGATTCGTCGCATTCACTTTATATTTACAAGAATGTTAAAGAAATTTCGTGGTGATAAGAAATTATGGTTTCAATATTTTGAATTTTGTAAAAGAAATAAAAGTCATCGACTTTTAAAACAGGCGTTTGCTCAGTATACTTTATAAATATACTTTTATAAAATATATTTTTAATATTATTTTACAAATAATAAATTTTATAATTATAGTTAATTAATTTTTAATATATACATATAAAAATTTCATTAGATTATTTTTTTTATTCTGACAAGTTTCTTTGTTAAGAAATTTGTTAGCTTAGTTTTATAAATTTTATTTTGGTGTCTAATTCTCGTATTTATTATTTTTTTTTTTCATATATATATATATATATATCACTACAATAATTATATAACACTTAAATCTTGTAACTATAATGTAGCACATTTCCATTTACTAGAGAGTTAATATAGAATTTGACTGCTTATAAACGTTAAACAATTATTAAATTGAACTTTACATTTATTATAATAAATATTTTTATTTTTTTATAACAATAATAAATATATTTTCTTTTTATTATACGTTTATAGTAAAAGTTAAAATAATTCTGTTTTAATATTTATTTTTAGTGTTTTTATTTTTTTTAACGCTTTGCTATAAGAGCTTTATCTTTTCATCCGCACTCTTCTGAAATTTGGCTCGAAGCGGCTAAATTTGAACTTGAAGAAAAAAGTAATTTTAAATCTGCTCGAGGTTCGACTTTTAAATCTTCATTATTTTTATTTTCATATTTTTTAAGTTATTAATTGCCATTAATATAAATAAGTAATAAATTTAACATAAAAAATGGAAAATTAAGTTTTGTAAGAGATCAAATTAATTCATAAATTTTAGAAAAAAGTTTTTATATCTATCCTAACTATTAAGTTATACTTATTTTTTATATTTGTAAATACATTGTTATTGTATTTTTTATCTAAACTATTGATACTTTTTTAAAAAAGCTATTAGTTATTATTTTATTAATTTAGTTTTTACCTTTTTTTAATTGTAGAATTGGAATTATATGGTTTTGTTATATTTCTTTTCAAATATTTATTACAAAGAAAAATGTTTGTTTTATAATATTTATATTAAATATGTAATTTTTTTATTTACTGATTTATATCTAAGAATTTGTAATTTATATTAATTTATTATTGATATAATTTATTTTTTAGATTTTAATTTTATAATTATAATTATTTAAAAAATATTAAAATTTTTTTTGTTTAGTGAATGAAATAAATAATAATTAAAAAAATATGTAGTTAATTAAAAATAACCAAAATTTTTTAATTATTAATTTGTTTTTTTTTGTACTTCATACAATGTTATTATATTTATTTGTAGGAATACAATAATAATAAATGAAAAGTTTAAAAAATTAACAATTTTTTAATAATAAAAAAACTAATTAATTAAATATAAATAATCTATTAAAAAGTTATTATGAAACTTTGAAAAGTTTATAAATAACTTTATTAAAATTTTTATATATAAATATTAAAGTTATTGTTTAATAGATAACATATTATAAACTATTTTTAAAAACTTTACTAAAAAAAAATAAAAGTTATATATAATGAAACAATTATGAAGAAATCAATTATAATAAAATTTTTTGTTTTGTATAAAATTTATATAACAAATAGAAAATAAAAGTTATTATTAACCATTAATATATTAATATATATTTTTATGTATTTTTAGAATTTTTAATAAATTATTAACATAAAAATTTTTACATATGCATAAAAGAAAATAATTATTCCATAGACTCTTATTCTTTAATAAATGTTTCATATTATTTTGAGATATTATTTTTTACTAAATATTATACAATTTAAATTTTTTTTTAAAAATTTTATATATTTTTGTTATTTTTTTTTACTAATATTTTTTATATTTTTAAGTTAATCCATTTCATTTTTACTAAATATTATATACAACTTAAGTTTTTTTACAATTTTTACTATTTATCTATGTTTTTTATATTTTTAAGTTATTTTATTTACTTTTTACTAAATATTATACTTATTTTTTAGTTTTAACCAATTTTATATTTATTTAATATTTTACATATTTTTGTTATTTTATTTATTTTTATTTGCTAAATGTTATAAATATTATGGGCTTTTTTTTATTTTTTTAAAAGTTATCCTTTTTTTTAACTAAATGTTTTATATATGTTCAAATTACCTTTTTTTTACTTTTTCACTAAATATTATATACCTTTTAAATATTTTAATAAATTTTTATATTAAATTAATGTTTTATATACTTTTTTTAAGTTAATTTTTTTTTACTACTTTTAAATTTTACTCAAAAAAAAAGTTCTTCTGCAACGCGCCCTTCGCATGAACCTAAAGTCTCAAGTTCTTTGGTTGGAATATTTTCGTTTGGAGCTTCTTTTTACAGATAAAATACGTTCAAGAAGAAAACTTTTAGGAATTTCTGTAGAATAATTTTTATACACCCATTTTTTATTATAATAATTTTTTTTGGAAACTTTTTGTATACTTTATTTGGTTTGACGATTAAAGTTATTATTATATGTACTTTACTATGTATTATATATTTTATTGTCTTTTACAGTATATTATCTTTTTTTTATAAAAATTTATAAAATTAACTTTATCATTGGAATTTAAAAACAAAAATATTTTTTACTAATTTCGTGACATTTTATATTAAAACTTTTAAAAAAATAGTTTAAACGAATAATGGAAATTATTTATGTTGTTATTGTCCTTACTATTTATTAATAATATGATAGGTTTGAATATTTACTTTTTATTACTTTATTTAACTTTTATTAGCCGAAAACAATTTAATAAAATAATTTTTTTTAAAATTAAAAATTTATTATGCCTGATTTTTTTTTAAAATAAAAGTTATAAAACTTCATTTAATATTACGATTAATAATAATTATAAATAATATTTTAAAATCAATATTTATAATAAATTATTTTCAAAAATTAAAATGAATATAAATTGTGAACAAAACTTTTAACCAACAAATATAATGAAAAATTTTAATCTATATAATTTTTTATTATAAATAAAAACTATAATAAGAAATATTAAGAATTTTATTTTCCTGGTCTAATTAATAATTGAAGAAAATGGGCTAATTTTTTGGTTGCTATAATTTATATTCGTGTTGGTTGGTTAAAACTATTTCTTTATGAATGACAATTTTAGGATCTACCGAATAATAAAGATACTGATAAGATGAATAACTTTTTAAATTATCAACTCCCTCAACTAGTTTACAAAAACGCAATAAACGGTAAACTTTGTTATTATTTTTTATTACTATTATTTAATAACTTTATTTTTATTTTTTTTAATTTTAATTTATTATGAATTTGTTTTTTTAAGAGTTTCGCGTTTTTTTATTATGAAAATATAAATCTGTGTTGGCGTTAAACTGAAACGTGAAAGCATGAGTCGAAAAAGACACTTTTTATTAGGAAAATTTATATTTGCAATCTTAATTAGTAAAGCGTTACGTAGCGCAAAATCTTTCACACTGTTTCAGTCGCCACGTGTTGTGTGTCTCTCGTCTCATCCAACCTCTCGGCTTCGCCTTTTAGGCTAAAACTTTTTTTTAATGGAAGGTAATGACGAATCATTGCAGCTTTGTGTAGTAAAAAAAATAAGGAAAGCCGTACGCTTTGTATCGAGCACTCGTGGGCTCCGCTGGTGTTATTTAAATGTACTTTTGACTGTCTTCATTGGTTGTGTTGCATTAATTATTTAAAAATTTTATCATCACTTTTTGAAATTTTTATTAAACAAAATTTAGTCGAGTTCAAAAGTTTTTATGAAACCAGTTTAGCTATATACTGGACATTTTTATGTTTGGCAAGAACCAAAGTTTTATCTAGACCTTTTGCTTCTCTTTTCCGTTCTCCAAAATTCATTATTTATTGTAGTAAAAGAAAGATTAAGAAAAATGAACTGTTAGTTAAAAATTTTATTTGTTGTTCAATTATTAGTTGTTACAGTAATTGTTATACTTCTATGATATTTTTTTTAAGTATTTGTTTTTGGATAAATTTTTATTTATTTATATTATTATATATACATTGAAATACATTTTATTTAAATATTACTTTATTCTCATTATTTTTACTTCGTATATACTTTATATTATATCATTATATTTGTATATAAGTATTAATAATTTTTAAATATTGTAATATCTTTTATTTATTATCATATTTTATTATATACTAATTGAATTGTACAATAATTTATATTCTCTATATTAATTGAACTGCACATATAATGTTTTAATAGAGAAAATATGAAAAAAAATTCCAAACTTTTATTAATATTTTATTATTAATATAATAGTTTAAATTATTTTAATTTTAATTTTTTACTTGTTGTTTTTCTGTTTAATTACATAAAAATTTTATTTTTTCATATAAAGCTTTTTATAAAATTTAAGAAAGTTTTTATGAATTTTATTAACTTTTTTTATGTAAGAAATTCCAAATGATGTCCACTTTCGATTATCATTTGCTGAACTTTACCGCCATTTTCCACAAACTGAAGAACTTGTTGAAACGGAAATTATTAAAGCTTTGCTACAGGATGAACAGCTTGGCCAATCAGAAGTCCTTCCTTTTGTGCTGTTCATTGTTATATCATAAAAAATATTGTTGATCTATCAGAATACGTTTGATGCCGTGGCTAAATATTATATTATTCCCAAATTCACCAATGAAAATTTTGAGCGCGTTTGTAAAATATATGAGTTGGCCAATGAAAAGCTGAAAACACCAGCCGTTGCAGTTCTGTATATTGAGTGTCTTGCGTCATTACTTGATAAGAAATCACCAATGAATGGTGCTAAAATAAGCGACGCTTGCTTGGAGTCGATTAGTGATTGGTTGGTTCAAATTGGAAGCCAATTTTCTAGCGAATTTGATTTGCCGTCGTCAACTATAAGGATTGTTATATCGTTTATGCTTGAGAAGAGTTGCTTATTATTAATATTAATATTATTATTATATTATTATAATAATTATTATTACATTATTATCATTATCGTTATTTATAATATTACTAACTTTTTTAAAACATATTATAAAGGACTTTATAAAGAAGCTTTAGACTTGAGCTTGCAAGTCCTTAATAAAAAAAGTAATAGTCCTGAAGACTGGATCTTTTCTATACGAACACACACGCAATGCATAAATATCAAAGGCATATATAAAGAGTTTTTTGTTTACTTTGTATTATAATTTTTTTGGAACTTTTTGTATATATACAAAGTTTTATTATTTTTTTATTTTTACTAAAATATAAATATTATAGTAACTTTGAGTATTTATATTTATATTATATTATATTATATAATAAATGTTTCTTTCGTTAGAGGATTGTTATTAAAGTTTATTAGAGATATTATATCCATAGAAATATATAAAATATTTTATGAATTTTTTTTTCTTTTAGTATAATATTATTTTTTTATAGTTTTAGAAAATTTTTATAATTTTTTTAGAAAAGTTAATAATATCAAAAGTTTTTGTTTTCTGTATGCTTAATATTATTATAGTAAATATTTTTACTGCAATAATATTTTTATATTTTTGTTTTTATCACAAAATTTTTTACTAAATATGAAACGTTTTAAAAATTATATTTAATTTTATTTCTTTATATGATTTTCATTTTTATGCTATTAAACCTCTTTCTTTCTATTATTATTAAATAAAAAATTTGTTTTTAAACTTTACTATTTGTTTATATTCAGAAGCAAATATTAATAACGACGTTATCTTTAACCTTATTGAAAAATCTCTTAAAGCACATCCCGAGCACTTCGAACTTTGGAGTCTGCGTGTTCGCTTTGATTCGCTGGTTTCTTCAGAGACACTCGAGGACACTTTTATGGTATCAAAATTAGTTATTTGGGCTTTTTATATTCGTTTTGGTTGTTTTTAGTGGTAATTTAACTTTATTTGTTCGCTTTATAGTTTCATTAAAAGTTATGATAGCATTAAAATTTGTGGTGTATAAAAATCACTAAAGCGTTATTATAATGGTTGACAGAATTTTTGTTTTTTTAATAATTGTGATAATAATAATAACAGTTAAATTATATATTATATTGTTTATTTTACAAAAAATATTGTTAAGTAAAAAATAGGAACTAAAAATATTATTTATGGATTTTTTATTTATTATTTATTGTTTAATTTTTTTTAAGTTTTAATAATTTAAAATTGTGAAGTGTTTAAAAAAATATCAAATATTCTGAACGTTTTTATAATGGTCAAATAATAATAGTTAAAAAGTGAAATAAAAAGAATAAAGTTAATGTTAAATTTTAAATAATATTAATTAAATAATAATAAATAAAAATATAATGATTAAAAAATTGTATTTTATACAGATTTTCATATTATCATTAGTCAAGTTTTTGATTATACTCGCTAATAAAAATAAACTAGCGCTTATTTGAATACATAACTGCTTAAGGAAACGTGCTAGTATATAGCGCTCCAATCGCAAGGCTCTAAATAAAATTGCAGCCAATTAACTTTTCAAGTTTAGCTCATTATTATTATAGAAGCATAATACTATTGATATATATTTATTTATTATACATAGTTATAAAAGTTTACAAAAGTTTGGTTTTACGCTTTTATTTAAAAAATATATATAAAATATTTATAATGGTTCATAATAAATAAAAAAATACTTATAATGTTTGTAATAAATTTTTTAATGAAACTACAATTTCTATGAATATTTTTTATTAAAACATAAAAATTGTAGTTCAATACTTACATATAAAAAAATTCATTATTATTTATTATCTTCAAAAAAAATTCAAACGTTGTAGTTTAATATTTTTATGTATACAGACCGCTATACAAAAAACGAAACCTTTTTTTAGAACGCAAATTAAACTCAACACGTTATTTGCTAAGTGGATCATGAAAAATAAGGATATGTCCTTTTTTCGTTCATTTTATAAAAAGTAATATTAATATTATTAAAAATTATTGAAATTTATATGATTTTACAATTCCATTGAACATTATTTTCATGAAAAATAAGGAATTGTCCTTTTTTTTTCTTATTAATAAATGATACAATTAGAAGACTTTTATAAAGCTATTAACTTACAATGAGTATAATGAATAATATTAATCAAATATAAAAATTTATAGTGAACTAAAGAACCAACAAAAATAAGGAGTTATTTTTTTTCGCGTTTTTATAAGTATTATTAATAATATATCGTTAAAAAATATAGTAATTTTTTTTATATACAAGATGTATAATTATAATGAACACATTATATTAATGTTAATAAATACACAAATTTATATTAAAATAAAAATAAAATAAAAAATTTTTATTTTATATTATTTTTTCTTTCGTATTTTGAAAAAATATTTTTATTAATAAAAGTATTATTTTATTAGTTTAAAAGTTATTATAATTACTTTTGCTATGTTATGTTTGTATACTTGTATGTGTTTTTGCTTTCTTATATAATAATTATATTAACTTTTTATATACTGTTTTATAAAATAATAATTAATCATATATGAAGCTTTTTATAAAATTTATGGACTTTACCCTCTGAATTCTTTTTTTTTCTTTACTTTTTATGCAAAGTTTTTCATAAATATACACATTTATATAAAAATTTCCAATTTATATATACTCCGTTTTGGTTTACTATAACAATATCAATATAACTTATATATACATTATTATAATTTTAATAATAATAATTTTATTTCGCGTCCTTTTTATACTTCTAAAAAAAGTTTTATATAATATTTATAATAATAATGAAGTAAAATCTTGATTATTGTCACTTTTAATATTAGTTATAACAATTTTATTTATTAGAGTTATTCGTGAAACCCCCACTTCACTGCTTTCATCATTTATAAAGAAATGCATTAAACTGGAAACGAGGAAGTTTGACTGCCTTGTCCACGTGGAGTGGCTGTACGAAAAACACATGAGCCTTTTCCCTAAAAGAATTGGTAATTTTTTAAGCGGTGGTTGCCTATTTTAATATTTTAGTCAGGTTAATTAAAAAAATGAGTAAAATAAGTAGTTTTGGTTATCATAACCAATACGATTGCATTATATTTAAAGATCGCGTGCCAGTGGTATTAATTTTTTTCTGCTTAGAATTAATAGTTAAATAAAAAAAATTTATTAGTTTATTATAATAATAAATAAATATTTAGAAACCGTATTTATTTTTGATTAAAAGAAAATTGCGTTAAAATTTTTTTAAAAGTCAAAAGTAATAATAATTATAAGCAACAAAAATTCAGAGAAAAAGTAATAAAAAACAAATTTTTTATTACTTTTTTATTATAAAAATAAACTTTATAATTATGAAAAAAATGTAATACTAATGAATTTTTTTGAAGATTGCTTGAAAGTTTAAAACTTTAAACAATTAATAGTAGCCTCTATTAATAATTATTTTTACAATAAAATTTTTTATTATTTACAATAATAAGGTAATGCTCAAGGGCAGTGCACATGTGATTTATAAGTTTGGCTCGTGCACGTGCTGCAGTTTTATTTCTTTTTTTCTTTTTGTAGTTTACAATCAATAAATTTTACTTTTCTATATTATAACACGTTAGTGTCTATAATATACTTTATATTATTATGTTATATTACTTTGCTGTTTATATTACAAAAGTTTTCGAAGACGTTTAACCTGTGAAATCAACAATTGTTAATAATGAGAGGAAAACAAAAAAGAATTTATATTATTAGAAAATATAAATTTATTAGTAATGCTTTAATAATTTAATAAAATAATTTAGAAAAGATTTTTAATTCTTATATAAAATTTTTATATAAATTTTTTTTTAAATATTCAAATTTTTTTGCAATATAATGAAATAAAAAAAATTTATTTTAAAGAAGTTTATTCGTGTTAAATATATGTATTTTAATAATAAAATGTTTTATAGAAAAAGTTTTTATCGTTTTTTGCGTTTTTATTATTTTTAAGTATTAAAAAAATTTTAACATTATTAAATATATTTTTTAATGATTTTTACATTGTTTATACACAATTTTTTCTAGTACAGTTTTACTTTGTAAAGTGCGTTAATAAAATTTTTAGTGAAATTATATTTAGTAAAATAGTATTTTTTTTTAAATTAAAAACAAATTAAATAATTTTTTGTAAATGTTTTTTATTTAATGATAAATTTTTCTGGTTATTATAAATTTGTAAATTTTTTTAATCGTTTATAAAAATTATAATAGTAAGGAAAATTAATTATAAATCAATGTTAGAATTAACTTAATAAAGAATTTTTTAATTTCTGTATAAGTTTTAGAAGTTTATCTGTAAAACAAATGCACTTAACTATAAAACTTTATATTATTTACTGCTTTAAATATTTGTTAGCATAAAGAAAGAAACGATAAGTTTTTTTTTGATTTATAAATTTTTTATAAAGTAAATTAATTTATTTTTTAATTATTATTGTTATATTATTAGACTCCTATACGGGCTATATAAACTTTTTAAGAAAACACAACGAATATATAAAAGCTAATCAAATTTATAGGCGTGCTGTGAAATTCGTGAAGTTTCCAAAACTACTGGAGAAAAATATTTTAATAAAAAAATAAATAAACTTATTACTAAATTTTTATTATAAATTTTGTTTATTTATATTTAAGTATTTTGTTGTTAAATTAATAGTAAAGTAAATTGACTTCAAGATTTTTTAAAAAGTTTAATACTTAAAAGTAAATTTTCTTTTGTGTAAATTAGCATAAACACGTTAAAAATTTTGTATTTAAAAATTTCTTTACACGTATAAATTTTAAAAATTCGCTTTACAGAAGTTGTACGGTAATGTAGAGTTGCTTGGTTTTATTAGTAATCACTTAATAATTTTGCCTTATTTTACTGTGTATTGTTGATAAAACATTTTTTTTGTATACATTTTAAATAATTTCAATTTATTTTTTTTGAACTATATAATAATTATCATATATATATATATATAAGTATATTTATTTAAATCTCCATTAGCCGTGTTTGGTTTATAGTCAAAAAAAATTGATCCCTCTACCTAAACACTGCAAATATAATTTCAACTTTTTATGCTTAATACTACAAATCAAACACAGTTTATGTTAAGTTGATAGCAAATGATAAAGTAAAATAGAAGATTTATTAAGGAATACTAAATTTAATTGCTAGTACTCGACTGGTTTCTCTAACATTTTACTTTATTCTAATAATTCACTGGAAAACTTCCATGCCTTAACTGCTATTGAAGTGAAGAGTAGAATGCAGTTTAATCGGGTTAAGGGCTTTAAGAAGACCCACCGTTTGGGGCAAGTGTTATAAAAAAGTTTAACTGGAGTGTAAACTTTGCCCTGTAGTTTCGAAAGAAAATTAACTAAATAAAATAACTAAAAACAGCCCACATTTTTCTTATATTTATTTATCATTTTATAATTTTTAATTATTTATATTTTAATCAATAGAATTTTTAATGGTAAATAAATACTTCGATGTTTGTTTTGAAAAGATTCGAAAGTTAATTTTTGGCTCCCAAGAATTTTTAGACACACTGCTTATAAGATCTGGTTTATAATGTGAACTATGTATATTACCGAGACAGAAATCGCCCTGTTATCTTAAGAACAATGTGGAATATATTCTAAACTTGACTATATTAAAATTAACTCTAGCAATTTACTAAGAACCACACTCACGAAAAGCAACAAGACTTGAAAAATACATAAAAATTATAACAAAAAAGATCATAAAATAATTTTAAAAACACCACCGTAAATACTTAAGAATTTCAAGAAGAAAATAATTCTAAGCCATTTAGAATATACTTTAATCAATTTTAGTATGCACCCAAAACCAAAATAAATATATACTTAGATATTTTCTAATTGAATTTAAATAAATATAACTAAACCAGAAAATGATTTCTACTATCTTATGTAAAAGGTGTATATATAACTTGTTTGCCTTAGTAAAAGCAGGATATGTTTTTCATTCTTGCCTCTTCTTTTATCAGAGATGTTACAGTTAGCCTTAACTAACTCGGCAGAAGAGTGTAAGTATGTTCTCTATATTTATAAATCTTTAGGCATACTAAGTAACAATCAGTCAATCTTTACCTAAAAATTTACTAATTGCAAGAACACTGAAGTAAGTTCATCCTTTTTCGTTGAATAAAAAACCTCTCGAAGAAGGGGTTAAAACAGTATAACGATCCACTGAGTGTTATAACTTTGATTTCTCAAAAGTAGTGAAATAGCTCAAACGGTAAAATTAGAAAGATTGTTCTTGAAAAATACAAATTCTGGAACCTTCTTCCATATATTTTTCTGGGCGGAAAGTTTTAAAGAATCATCGAATACTAAAAGTTCGGCTGTTGATGCATGTTTACTCTTAGTGTTATCGCCCGCCGTTAATGTCAGTTGTAAATAGTCTAACAGACTTAAAATGAGATGAATTTTCGTTACAATTAGCTGCATATAAATAATAAAGCATAAATTCTTAAGCCTTCCGTTTTTACTCTGTACTTCCAATAATATTTGACTGTATTTCTCTTATAGCAAACCTTAACTAGCTGCTCCTCGATTTCCAACATAACAGTAGCATTGTATTAAGTATAAGTGCACGCTTAAATGGCAACTTAGTAACTAGTGAGCAATTTTTAATTCTAAATAGAGGGTTGCACGGGAAGACTTCTATGGATTACACCTTCGCTTTTAAAAGTGGTTAAATAGGAAGGAGAAAATTATATATAAAATATTGTATAACTAATGCTGTAATAATATAAAATAAATATTACATGGTGATAATTTTTAGAATATCGTTATAAAACTTTTAATCGAAATTTTATCCCTTCTTATATAAAACTGCTCCAACACTAAAGAAGCCAATCGTAGCAAATGTTAACTTCTCATTGGTTTTTTCAGTGAGTTAGATTCACCAATATTTTAAATTATGCCCGTTTGGTTGGCTGCGCCAGCAAGAAAAATAACCAATGCAATATATTTTTCTAGTGGTAATAAGCTGCGCTACTACTTCTACTAAGTAAATGGCTCCTTTTGCGTCCTTTGGCAAAATATTTTTATATATGACAGCGGAAGGGGTTCGTCCGTTGAGCTCCCTGCTTTTTTTAATTGGTGACTAGTCTCTAGGGTTTTAGCAAATAATAAAGGACGAGCCAGCTGTTTGCAGGGTAGTTGGAGACCTTGCGTCTCTAGCCTATAAGGCTAAAGGAACCCAAGTCATTGGTTAAACGACTGGTCTTGGTCCAAAAGGTTTATATACTTTAATATAACGAATTTAACAATTTATTAATGATACGCTCTCTAAGTGTTTTTTTAAGCAAACACATTCCAGGGATAAACGCACCTTTTTTTTATCTAATGGAAGTCATAAGATTGGCATTGAGCTCAGCTTTCCTATTATAATCTATTATATACAAATTATAATAACTTTCTTAATTTATTAAGAAAAGTTATATAATAATTAATAATAAACGTAGAATTATAAAAAGCATCACTTCGTAGATAATAAAGTTAATACAAAAATATAAACAAGTTATAAAAAAAGGGTTTATTGTAGTATAATAATAATAATAATAATAATAATAATAATAATAATAATAATAATAATAATAATAATAATAATAATAATAATAATAATAATAATAATAATAATAATAATAATAATAATAATAATAATAGTTATAAATAGTTACCAAAGCTCTAAGCGGACTCGCTTATAAGTCTTTGGGCTCGTTTAGTACGGAAAGCTCAAACAAATCGTTTTCATTATAAGGAAGCTCAATTTGGTCGATGAGCTTGCCCAATGGTAAAACATAGTGGAAACTGTAATCGTGTTTTTGGTAGCACAAAATTTGGCTGATAGTACTGAAAAAAAATATTTAGCGATTCATAATAAATTTTAATATTCAAAGTTAATTATTTTTTTTGTGTTCACAAATAAAAATAATTAAAAGTTTTACAATTATTTTTAGTGATATTTATAATATATACAAATTGTGCACAAATTTTTTTTAAAAGTTTTTTATAAAAAATTGTCAGTTTTTAAAAACTCAGGCTTTTAATATAATTACAGTAACTTAAATAATAATTACATAATTAAAGTTTTTTTTTATAAATTATAAAACATTTTATATTGATCTTTATTTATATTTTTCTTATAAGTATATAAACTATAACTATATGCCAGTTTTGGGGATATTTTTATATTTATTATACGTTTTAATGATAATTTATTTAATGAAAGTTTAAATATAAATTTAGAAATACAAAAGTTATAATATTGTTTTTATTAAATCATATATTTCTATTATTTAATAACATTTCTTACACATGAGCTCAATCGTAAATAGAAAGTGTTATTTATAAATTTTTTTCTCAGACTAAATGTTTATAGTTTATTTTTATTTTTAAGAAAAATTTTACGTTTTATATGAATTTACGTTAACGCAAACTTTTTAATATAAAATAAAAGTTGTATTTATTAATTCTTTATAATTCTTTAATGAAAACATTTTTAAATTTTTTTTAAGAAGTTTCATATATATAAACTATGCTACAAAGTTATGTGTATATTAACAATTTTATATAAAAGTTTCGCTATAACAAATTTGTATGAAATTCTTTTTATGAATATTATTAATAAATTTATTTTTTATAAATGTGGTAGAATTTCTCTATGAACTTTACAAGGTAATATTTTTCATTAAAATTATAAAATTTTTTTCATAAATTTTAATACATTTTTAAATAAATATAAAAGTTGTAATAAATTAAAAATTATACAAAAATAACAAAAGTTTTATATTTTTAAAAATATATATAAAAGGTTTAACTTTATAAAAATGTATAAAAGTTTATAACATACTTTGCGTAAATCCTTCTTTTTGTAAAGTTTATATGAGGCGGGTTAGTGCCTTTCACAAAATCCAGATTCCCTAATAATAATAACAGTATTTAAAAAGTGCTCAATAGTTATACAATAAAAACCTTCTTCAATGAAAGTCAGGTCCGTCAAGTAAATTCCTGTTAATATCATCCAAAAAGCAAAAAAGAAAACTACAATAAATATAATGAATAGTCTTCTAAAAGTAATTGAGTAAACCAAGAAATGGAATGCAGGGCTCCTCAACTACTGTCGACAATTTGGCGCGATAATTTTTATAATTGCCATCATTGGTCACAAGCTCTACTAAGCTCTTATGGGTCTCCTTCGAACGAGGAGGGAGTCCCTAAAAAGGATACGATAAGGCCATGTAGACACAAAAAAGCTTAAAAAAAAGAAAAAAAGAAAAAAAAATAACCGCCCACGTTTTCTTAAGCCTCGTGACGCAACCAGCAGACAAACCAGCGGCAATAATGCTGAACAAAGCGTTAAAGTTGTTGAGTTCTCCGCATTTCTAATATTATTATAATCATTATTGCTAACATTGTTATTATCTTATATATAATACCTCTGCAATACCAATGAAGTGAGTTAAATACTTTATTCGTTGAGTGATTTTTTCTTGCGTGACGATTTGCGTAGCGACCCAAAGAGAGATCTGCAGTTCAATAGTAGAATAATAGAAACAACAGTAACAGTAATAATAATAATAATAGTAATAATAATAATAATAATAATAATAATAATAATAATAATAATAATAATAATAATAATAATAATAATAATAATAATAATAACAATAATAACAATAATAATAATATTAAGTGCACAGTATTGGCTCTATCAATCATTTGCATTATATTTCGTGCTAAATGCTGGCGCTCTTTCACATTCCAGCTCAGCCCAAAAAATTCGGAAGCCTTCAATTTATGGTAAAGAGAACTTTCAATCAGCGTCAGTTGCCTGCAATAAAAATTTGAATAAAAAATAATGAAAATATCAGTTTTTAATTGACAAATAAAAATCCTTTAAACTTTAGTTTCGTTAAAATTTTAGCTTTAGAAAAAAATATTTATTTAAAGAATACTTATACTTTTAGCATGAATTACATTTTTAGACAGCCAGAAAATTTTCAAATAATAATAAAAATAATGATAGATTTATAAAATATTATATAAGTGGAAACTTTAATTTATTATTATTGATCTCTAAAAACTTCATTATAATTAGTACATCGCTATAAACTTTTTACAAATAGTGATAACGAAACACAGAAAAAAGGTGAGATTTTATATATATTAATAGAAAATCTTGAACATATACAAATATAATAATAATAATAGTAATAATAAAAGCCTTGCAATCTCCAATGGATCATAATCAATTATTAAAAGTTTATCGGAAATATTTTTAGGCAAAAGTGGTTTTGGCGAGATTCTTGAGCCGGTATCCCGCTTTTTACTCAAACCATAAGTCTAATAATAAGAACAAAAATAACAAAAATAGTAATAATGTTAATAACAAGGAAAAGAAAAGTTTATAATATATATATTAAACTTAAATATATTTTTAAAAAAAATGAGGTACACTTAAATAAGACAAGGCAGACATAAAAAATAGTGCTCAATAGTGACCAACATTGATTGGCCACTTGCTTAATAAGGCACACGTGGTAGCTAATTACATTAGACAATGGTCAAAACTTAATTACTTTTGTACCAAAAAATTACTATAAACTTTGATAATAGTTTTAATATATATCATTATATATACTAATAAAAATATATCAAAAAAAATATAAACCAAATATTCTTTCATGGTATTGGTGAGATTATTAGTGGCAGTCGGTATATCTTTTTTTAATAACTCGCAAAAGTCAAAAAACTTTGATACTAATAATTATAGTGATAATAATAATAATTATGACAATAATAATAAAACCTAAAACTTGATCTGTAAAAAAGTCATAAAAACTTTCCTCGATCCAAACTTTTAAAGCGGCTAATATTCTTTTAAAAATGGCAAAAATATTAATAAAGTGCAACACATATCAATAAAAATTTCAAAAAAAAGTTTTTCCTATCAAGCATATAGGAAATTTCAATATTTATTAACTTTTTATTATATTTTTATTAAATATTTTTACTTAAAATTATTAAAGTTTATAACATATTTATTAACTTTCAAATAAAAATTATACTTTTTTGATAATTTATTTTAATTATAAAAACTTTTATATTTATTGCTACTATTATTAGTTATAAAGTTTATAATCATAATGATGAATTATTATTTACTTGTTATTTTTATTAACTTTTTACTTTTTTTATTTATTAAAATACTGTTTATAATATATAATAATTATTATTTTATTAACTTTTCAATATTTTTTTTTATATTTATTTTATAAATATAAAAAATAAAAAAATTATAAAAAATATATTATATAAAAAGCAGCATCACTTATTATAAAATTTTAAATATAAATATAAATATTATTATATATTAATAAAGTAATTCAAGTTATTGCTATTATTAATTATTTAGTAATAATTTAGCTTATTCTAATAATTTATATATTTATTTCTTTTGTATAAAAATTTTAACCAAATTTTACAATTATAGTAAGTAAATCAGTTTGTTTACTATTATTATATATAATAATTATTATTTTTATTTAATATGAATATAAAAAATAAAAAAAATATTTTATATTAAATTTTGATAAAGTATATTATAATTAAAAAAAATTTTATAGTTATAGTATAAGTAAGGCAGTTTATTTACTATTACTATTTTTAATAGTTATTAATTCAAATAGTATTGATATAAACATAAGAAAAACGAAAAGTATATGACAAGTACATTTATAGACTGCTTACTATACAAGTATTCCACAATATTTTTTATATAAGCAAAAATAAAATAAAGCAATAACCTGATTCGCGTAGGAAGCACAACTGAAGTATGCCAGCTTTCTTGCTGTTCTTTATTAAAAGTGAAGTCTGCAGAAAACGCGTGACTAAAAAAGAGTAACATAATTATATAGAAATAACAATAAGAAAGAAAAAAAATAATGAATCTTTATATAAAAAAGCTCGCCAACCGTAATATAAGTAAATTCAAAAGTTCCTGTGAAGTCGTGAAGGAATGAAACGTTAGAAAGAATACACGTGTAAAAGACACATGCTCGTTGTCTATTACGTCGCACGTGGTTAGGTACTTGACAAGGTTATTAAGCGTCCCTTTTTTAAAATGATAATAATAATAATAAAATAATAGTAATAATATTAATAATATTAATATTAATTATAATAGTAATAATGATAATAATAATAATAATATATGAGTACCACTCTTAACTTTGAGCTGGCCTTGCTCGTCTGGCGTTTCATACTGAAGATCTACTGCTTTTTGTTGGCTTATTAAACTCTGAAACTCTTCGTTCTGAATAAATAAGATAGCGATTATTATTATTATTATTATTATTATTATTATTATTATTATTATTATTATTAATCATTAGTATGTGTTACTGATAAACAAGCTCCTTGTAACTCCTCCGCCTTATGTACTATGTGTTGGGATAAACGTCTGTGCGAAATAGGAAAAGTATAATTATAGTGATAATAAATAATAATAAAAATACTAATACTAATAATGATAATTAAGCACTACCTTTGATGCTCCTCCTCCCAAGCCAAGCAGTCCATATAATAATGTTTTTGAGTCTCTAAACACGTGGTGAAAGCAGCTTCAATGGCAAGAATATTGTTTAAAAGAGTAGTAATCTCCAATAAAAGTTTCTTTTCACTATCGGGAGGCGGCCAGAAACCTTTTATTATTATTAATATTATTATCTTTTTTGTACTTTTTATATAAATACTATTATACATTCACTGGCTTTATTTTATTAAATAATAAACAACCAGTAGTAATGAGGCAAGCAAAATTCACGGCGTTTATATTTTTTCTTATAGGCTTTATGGTTCTGATAATCAACTAATTAATAAGTAAAAAAAGCGTGTCGACGCAAAAAAAAGACTCAAAAAGTTGGAATTTCACAGTTTCGTCTACTACAATAAGCTCAATAGTAGTTACCTAAAAATAATTTTCATTAAAAACTTTTTACGAAATTAAGTTAACCAATATACTGCACTTCTCGCTTGACCGACGCCGCAATATCGCAAAGTTCATTCACTAAAAGTTGTATTTGATCTTTTAGGCTATTTTCAGTAGAAGGTGGAAACTGCTTCACTTCATTAGAAGATATATTCTGGGTGAAAATTGTTTAAAAATAAATAAACATAAATAAAAAAAGTTTTTTAAATAAAAAGTCTCAGCAAAAAACTTTTTTCTTCGAAAAAAAATAAAAAATTCATTAATACAAGAAAAGTGGACAGAAAAAAAAATAAACAAAAAGGTGGTAGTACGAAAATAAGTATAAACAATAATAAATTGTTAATATAAAAAATATAAACAAAAAAAATTCGTATAAAAAAATTTAATAAGTTTTTATTATAAGAAAAAATAATAAGAAAAAATAAACCAGTTCATAATATAATAAACAATAAAAGAATTTTCGTATAAAATATAAACGATTTAAAAAAAATTAATATGGAAAAATGTAACAAAAATAGTTTTTTATTATGAAAAATATAGAAACAAAATAAAATTTTTGTATAAAAAATATAAACATCAAGAATTTGTAACAAGCATAAAAAATATATAAACAAAAATAAAATTGTTTATTAAAAAAATAAACAGAAGTTAAGTTGTTTATTAATAGATAATTTTAAAAAAGTTAATTACTCGCTGTAACTGGTCAGAAATAACAACGCTACGTTTCTTCATTTCTTCGCATAAACTGATAAGAGTTTTCTGTACGCTTAAGTTGATGTTGTATGCTTGCTTCAGCTATAAATAATGATAATAATAATAATAATAATAATAATAATAATAATAATAATAATAATAATGGAATATATAAAAAACCTCGTTTCTTTCGGAGGCCTGCTTTAGCAAGGGCAAACGAAGAGGAGCTACAAAGGAATATACGAAAATAAAAATAAAAATAGTATTTATTGGTTAGAAATAGTAGAAGTAAAAGAAAAATAAAGGTAATATTACTTTAGCTAAAAATAGAAACAGAAAAAAAGATTTAAAATATATATAAAGTTATTAATAAAAAAGAATAAATAACTTTGAACATTATTAGTAATAAAAATAACATTACTTCAGGTATTAAATAAAAAGTTAAAAAAAATAAATATAAAAAATATTTTAGCTAAATATAAAAAAGTTAAGAAAACTCAAAAGATATATAATAATAACAAAAAAGGTGAATAAAAAAATTATATCTAGTTATTAATAAATAGAAAGAAAAAAAACAATAAAAATTAATTATAACAAAAATATTTCTTCAGTGATAAAAAAAAATTTAGAAAAAAAATAATAAAAAAATATTTTAGCTGGAAACAAAAAAGTTAAAAAAAACTATTAAGTTAAATAAATAATATATAATAACAAGAAAAGTGAATAAAAATCAATAAAATATTTTAGGTTTTAAGTAGAAGATGTAAAACTTTAAAAACTATTAATAATAAAATATTATTTCAGTTATAAAATAATAAAATAAAAAAATTATTTTTTTTTTAATATAAATAATGTAAAAAAAAACTCACAAGAAGGGCCGTTATTGTAATAATATTAGGAAAAGTAAATAAAAATAAAAATAAATAAATATAATAATATTTGTTATAAATAAAAAATATACAATAAATGAAAAATAATATTTTTTCTTATAATTGAGTAGAGTGAATAATATTGTTGTAGTAAGAAAAAATAACATAAACTTATAAATAATATAAAAAATGTATTTAGTTAGAAAAAAGTAAAATATAAATAAAAATAATATTACTTGAGTTTTAAAAAAAAATTTAAAGAAACTTAAAAAAATATTTTAAATATAATATTAATTCAGCTATAAGTAAATAAAAACTCATCAAAATGTAAAAAAGATATGAATGTATAAATAAATATTTTATAAATAAAAAAAAACTTAAACAAAAAATATAGAAATATAAATTATTTCAGCTAAAACTTAAAAAAGTTAAAAAAATTAAATAAAATATTATTTCAGCTGTAAATAAGAAAAATGAAAAGTAGTAATAAAATAAATAAATATAAAGACTTTGCTCGGGCTCATGGATTTTCACTTCAATGAGAGGATCTTCAATAAATGAATCTCCTAGAAAAAAGTATTAGAACTTGAAATTTTTTATATAAAAGTTTTAATAAAGTAAAAGCATTTAAAGCAGATTTAAAAAAGTAAAAAAAACCTTTATACTACCATTAAAAAAGTTTGTTAGTATTAAATTTAAGGGTTTTTTTATAAACAAAATATATTTACCTGCGTTTTAATACAAAAAAGTAAAACTTTTTTACAAAAAACTGAAAGGTTTACAATAAAATAAAATATAATTTTTATAATATTGTTTCACTGCATTTCATGTAAGTAAAAATAAATACTTTTATTTAAGTATAATAAAGTATATTACACTTAATAAATTGTTATATAAACACAAAATATAGAATAAAGTATAACTTATTCAATAAATAATATAATAAAAACAAGTTAAAATTTTATATATATAAAAATTTATACACAGTGTTTAGTGCAATAATAAAAAACACACTTTTTTTTATGAATCTCATATAAACAAATACCCATAAAGTTTTCTTCTAAAACTTTACTCGCATCAAATGTGACGTTCCTGAGCACTTTTGATCGTTTAGCTTTCAAAAAAAATAATAAAAAATAATTTTCATATAATAATGAAAATAGAATAACTATTATGTAGGAACCGTGAAGAATAAAACTGGAAGTAAACAGAAGAACGTTCTGGATCGAAATAATGAGAGCTTCCATATATCCTTAAAAAAATGTATCGCATTAAGTATAATGAAAAGGACAATGAATAAAAATAATAATAAAAGTTCAAAAAAAAAACTTCAAGGCAAATAGAGACCGGCGGGGGGCCAAACGCCATTGGCTCTTGCGACTGCCAGTTTGCAGTCCTGAAGCGCCCGTTCGATAGTTCTTTCGTCTTGTTTCAAGTTAGCATCAATACTCAGCAAAACGTACCTATAGAGAAAAAAAAACAAAGTTTTTTTTTGAATAGCATTTAATATTGTTTTATATATATATATAATTTTAAGTTTTCTTAATATATATAATTATATAAATAATAAATATGTATACAAGTATAAAAAAAGTTTAACTTTTTGATAATATATATAATAATAAATAGTTATACCTACAAAAATAAATATTGTAATATATATATAAATATAAAAAGTTTTAATATATTTCTTTTATAAATAATAAAGTTGTATATAAATATAGTAAGTTTACTTTTATTATAGTTATTATTATTTATATAATACTTTAAATATAGAAGTTTAGTCATAGTAATAATAAATATTTATATAAATTAATATTAAATTTTATTTTTTTATAATATACTTAAAATTAATAAAATATAAAAAAGCTGTACGTATAAATATAAATGGCTATATATAAATATTTATAAGATTTCTTTTTTTATAGTTGCTAAATATAAAAGTTTATCTTTTTATTACATATAATAAAAATTATAATAATTATTAATTAAACTTTATATATTAAGTTTAAACTAATTTTTCAAATAATAATAATAAAGAAACAATAAAATTATATATATATAGAATATTTAGTTTTTTGGAACTATAACTATAATAAAAAAATAAAATTTTATATAAGGATTAAGCTTTGACTTTTATTTTAATAAAAATAGTAATAAAATAAATATAAAAGTTATATTCTTTTAATTTATACAATAATAATAATAAAAATATGAATTTAGATTTCTTTATATTTATTTATTTTATTTTCAAAAGTTAAAGATTTAGTTTTGTTTTTAGTTGTTTTTAATTTATTTTTCTAAAATTTCCAAATTATCATTAGTCGTTGCGAAAAAAATATTTTATAATGTAGTTACATAATTTTTTTTAAAATTTTGTTTAAATCTTCTTTTAATGAAGTAGAATATAAAAATATAATAATATAGAAAATATTTAAAATTAAATTAAGTACATGTGAGTTTATTTTTTATAGTTATTATCATTTATAAAAAAACTTTCTAAACTTTCATTAGAATATAAAACAGTAACACAAAAAATATAGTGGAGCTACAAGGCGCCCTTCAGCGTACTCGAATTCAACTTTACTTATTTCCAATGAACTAGCAAATATGGAGGATAATCCAGCAAATAAGTAAAGAAAATATTGAAACAGAAAATGTAATGAAAAAATTCAAAGTTCTTTAAAGTAAATATAAAATTTTGCAGTCACTAAAAAGGTTGCAAATGCTACCCAAGCCGGTATTATGGTTGCAAAAATTTTATAACACGGGGAAAACTCAGCCTAAAAATTCACATCTGCTTTTCTTTACTTGTAATTTATATAAAATAATACTATTTTACTTAAATATTACGATTTTTTAATTCAGAGAATACGTTGAGCACTTTTATATAATAAAAATAATGAAAATAGCAATAAATCTTATTAAATAAATAAAAATATAAATAACTCGAACGCTATAATAAAAAGGTGTTTCTAAAAGAAAAACATAGGGGATTTTTGTAGCGACCAAAAAAAAGCTTTTGAGCTTTAGACTGGTACTTAATTTTCATAGTTGGGCATCTTTACATCTTAAAAAGCTTAATACATTTTTTGGGCAGTATTTTTGTCTGCGTTGCTATTGGAGCGCTAAAGTTTACAAAGTTTGTTTAAGAACCAAGCTGCAACATTTATTTTTAGCAACAAAAGTTTATATAAAATAATTAATTTAAAGAATAATAGTGCTTTAATAATGAATAATAATATAACATGTTATAAAAAGTTTATTACTCTGCGCAGGAATTCAATATTTCCGTAAGTATGCGAAATTTCTTTATAAACATGTTTATCGCTTCCATAAAATCCTTCTTATCTGCCTTTATAATATCTGAAATTGCTTGTACGCTCGCTCTATTGTCATTGTTTATTGTTATTCATAAACTTATAGACAGCTGAAATACAATAAATATATATTATATATAAATGATAAAAAGATAATATATATAAATAATATAATATAAGATAAAAAAGGCTATTCATAAAAATAAAAATTAATAATAATAATTCCAAATATGATTAATAGTTTAGATACCAATAACGACTAATTAAAAAAGTTATAACGTTTTTGTGAACATTATAATTAATAGTACTAACTTTGCTAATATCAATAAATATACTAATAGTTGGCATTTTCCTTTTTATATATAATAAACTTTTGCAAGTAAAAAAATAATAAAATATGTATGATTATAATAATTTCGTAAAGTTTATCACTTTAAAAAAAATAATGCATAAAGTAAAGCTTTTTACTATTAGTAATATGATAAACAAACAAAAAGTAAAATATATAAGTAAAATATTAAAATAAAGCTTCTAAAATAAACTCATGAAGTGTGTAACCTCGAAATATAATTCATTAAAAGTGGGCAAAGTTCGCTAGAGCCCTTATAAATATTCTCAGATGGACGCTATTTTTAATTAGTAATAATATTATGAATAGTACAAATAATAATAATAACATTTATTTTTAAAATTATAATGAGATTATAAAATTTTCAAAAGATGAATACAACCAACAGTAAAAAATAACTTTTTCAAATAATATAAACAATAAATAATTATAATAATATTAAATTTTCCAAACATTAATTATAAAAAACGATAAAGATAATAATAAAATTAACTTTTCCAAAAAATAAAAAATAATTATAACAGAGAAAACTTTTTCAATTATAAATTGTGTGCTTCTGATAGTAAAATCGGTGACGATAATATTTTCCAGCAGTGCCCTGCTCAGCTGGCAGTACGCTTTTAACGCATACACTTCACTAATAAACTTATCAGTACCTTTTAGTATAGAAATTTATCTTAAAAGCTACAAGTTCAGCTAATATTAATAATAAATAAAACTAGTTCTCGAGGCGATCGTTTTCATTTCTTTAAAGCCTTCAAAAAGTCGTGTTAAAATTTTAACGAGCGACGACACAAAATTTTCCGCGAGTTTCAAAAGTACACTGATGAATTATAATTATATAAAAAGTTAAAGTTTATATAGAAAATAAAAAAAGCGCACCCTTTCATAGATTTACTTTTCATCTGGTAAAACAGTGTCATTTCTTTTATTAACTTCCCCCAATTAAGGACTAATGAAGTCGATACCTGAAAAATTTAATAAATGTATATATTAAAAATCAAAGTATTTATAAAGTAACCAAAAAGAGTTTATAACTAAATAATGTTTAAAATAAAAAGGAAGAAGTAAATTATTTATTAAATTAATATATGTATAAAATAGACAGTTAAGCAAAAATAGTTTTATAACAAAATAATATAGAATATCATATTAATTATAAGAACAAATAAATATTTATAAAATAAAATAAATAAATTATTAAGAAAAAGTTAAGCAAAAAGAGTTTAAACAAGAAATATTTATAAACATAAAAATTAAAAATATTTTTAATATAAAATAAAGACAAATAAAAAAAAGTTAAAAAAATAGTTTTTTACTAAATAATGTTTTAAAAATTTTAAACAAAAAAAATTAATAAATATATATAAAAATTAATATAAAAAATTAAGCAAAATATAGGTTTATAAAAATATTTTATTTAGAAAATTATTATAAAATAATAAAAAAAGTTGATAGAAAATATTTTTTTTAAATATCTTAAAAAAGTGAAATTAAAAATTGATAAAAATCAAAAAATTACAATAATGTAAAAAATATTAAATAAATATAAAATAATAATAAAAAATAATAAAAAAATTTAAGCAAAAACAGTTTATAACATAATATTAAAAACTTTAAAAAAATTAAAAATAAAAGAAAGTTAAGCAAAATAGTTTTTATTACAATATATCCTTGAAAAATTAATATATAAATTAATAATTTATAAAAGTTAAATATTAATTAATAAAAAAAGTTAAATAAATTTATAAATTACCTTAAAAAAACTAAATATAATTTAAAAAACTCAAAATAAATTATATTAAAATAAAAAATATTAAATAAATATAATATAATAAAAATATATAAACAAGAATTAAGCAAAAATAGCTACAAAATATTGTAAAAAATAAAATTTAAAAGGAAAAACCCTAAGAAGCTGGTCAATATCGTTTGAATTTTTAATAATTTCTTCTGCTATTGCAATGGCTTTATCGCTAATGCGTTTAAGTGGGTCCATCTCCAAAGTCAACTGCACCGTATATGCTTGATACCCGTAATCTAGTTAAAATTTTAAATGTTTTTTATAAAATTTAAAAGAGATTTAATTAATTTTAATCATTAAAAAAAATTATAAAATAATTTAAAAAATTAAACTAATCATCTTTTCTTAATTGCAAAATTAGAAAATTTAATTGCTTTCTAAAATCATAAAGTTTAAGCAAAAAAATTACTTTAAGAAAAAAAAGAGCTAAGAAATTAATTAAAATATAGAAAATAATTTTAATCGCTGTAATAAGAAAAAGGTAATTAAAGAAATTATAATACAATAAAAAAAATTACTGAGAGAAAAAATATAGTCTGGTGAAATTAATACTCTCACGGTAACCAAATTTTCTCCGCTTCAAATTTAAAACATAAAATTACTGGAAGAAAATAAAAATTTATAAAATTTATATCCACAAGCTCATTATTTCCCTTACTTGCAACATTGATATATTGAAAATTATTTTAAATGTAAAATTCAAAATAAGTAATTCAAAAAAAATTATATAGCTGGAAATAAAAAATAATTTACTATACAAATAATAACGCTTTACAAAATTAATACCATTAAGATGATCAATTTCTCTTGATTGCAAGTCTTCCTCGTACTCATCTGGAGCGTCCTGCAAAAGCATTTTCTGAGGGTTTAATTTCAAAAGGATAAAGTATTTATCGTAGTCATCCCCCCAAGTTACAGTGTGGGCCAGAGGGCATTCAGTATCTGAAAGCAACTTTTCATCTTTAAATAAAAAAAATTAAAAAAATAATTAAGTTTATATTAAAAGTAAAAAGTTTTATTACAAAACCAATTGGTACAAGCATTACAAACAAACTTCTGAACTTTAGTTAAAAAAATATTAAAAAGTAATAAAATAGCAATAAAGTTTATCTAAACCAGAGAACAAATTTTAAAAAACAAGACAAAAAATTAGACATTAAAAACAACTTTTCATCTTTATATATAAAATTAAAAAAAAATAATAACAGTGAAGCATAACAATATATATATATAAAAACCTAAAATATATAAAACAGAAAAATTTGAAAACATAAAAAAACATTTAAAGGTTAAACTAAAACTCAATGAACTTAAAAAATAAAGATAAATTATATTTAAGCAATTATAATCAGGCTTTAAAGCCATTCTTATATTAAGTAAATAATAATAAATTTTTTAAATTATTAGTAATATAGAATAAATTCTTATATAAATGAAATCGAAAAAACTAGAAGTAGAAAGTTATAGATAACCTCCGTTTATTTGGGCTTCATATAAAGAATAAGAACGTTTATGATCAGTAATTACAAATTTGCTAACCAGCTGAGGTATAAGTTTTTCGCAAGTAGTTTTGCTGTTGCACAGTATGGATTTCGTGTTATTTACAAAATCACGAACATAAGTTACTTTTAGAAGTCCTTCAAATGTTAAATGCTGATATAAAATTATTAACTACAATTTCAGAAAGAAATAAAAAAAATAAATTTTACTTTATCCGGATTAAAAAAAGAAGCTTGAAATTTTGTATTTAAGTATTGTAATTTTTTTTCAAGTTCTGCTCTTTCTGCTTTTCTTTTTTTTTCCAAAAGTCTGAAAATCATGAGTAAAAAATTGAAAGCTATATTTTCAAATTTTTTGTTTTACGAAAACAAAATTCTATTTTCAAGTTCCAGTACAAAAAAAAAAGAGAAGGCTTCTAATTGTATAAGTATGCCATAATGCTTCCCTTACAATATATAAAAAACTTATCACTACATCCTATGCTTAGATTGTTAATAAATTTAGTACTTTTTGAAGTATTTATTAGAAACCTTTACTTCACACATACAAATATAACAGGTACACCCTTTATCTAAGTATTTTATTATAAATAATTTAATTCTAACCTTTTTTCCTTTGCATCCATGCCTATATAACTGAAGTTCCAAGCAATATATACACGCAAATAGAATTTAAAATATACCTAACACTATAAATTTCTTAAAAAAAGTTATTCAATTTTTTTTTCTTTATATATGCCATGAAGAGGTGCCCTTTCCGAAAAGCAAGTAAATTCTACCGTAACTAATAGTGATACTTACACTAAAGGGCACGTAAGATTTTATAAATGGTTGATACCTACAAGAATTAAATTTTTATGATAAATCATATCATACCTAAAAGAGCGTGGCGTTATTTTCTCCCCGCTCCTTTTTTTTGAAAGGCATGCTCGACTAAAATTGGTTTAAGGGAGTAACATAACGTCACCATTATGACCAGAAAGTATCAAAGCTTACGCAACAGTAAAAACTCAACACTTTTAGTTGATGTGATATACAATTCTCTGCTGTTATACTTTTTATTTATGTCTTACTATTTCAAAGTTTTTTATTGCAAGCTTGCTAAAAACTTAGCAAAATTTGTTTAAAGGAAGATATACGTAATTATAAACGTCAGCATTAAGGAAAATTGAACCGCAACACTGACATGACGGGTTAATGCTTCTAACCACCGGTAGTGGCCGCTAGCACTTCCGATAAAATCATACAGATATAGCCTTAATTACGCTCTTATGTTTTAAACTAGTTGTCTTCAAGAACGTAACTGAATGTAATAGAAAAACGAGCACCAAAGTGTATATCTCTTTGAAATTATAGATAATTTTTAAAAGTTAATTCAGGTTAAGAGGTAGAAAGGGGCCCCTGACAGGGCCCGGTTATATTATATAATAAAGTTACCTTGCTCATTAAATATCGTTCAAGTGCCTCGCCAGGCTGTATACCATGAACTGAGTTGACTTATTTAACTTTCTAATAATAAATTCTCGGTATTTTCTATCTAACTTATATGAAAAGACGACCTTTATGTAATCAAACATGTATTCTTTGCTTTTTTCTCATAACGGCATGCTTAAAAGCGTTTTATATACCTTAAGGGTTAGTTATACCGAACTATATTTGATAAAACTATTAAGTTTAAATGTTTAAGATAATATCAATCTTTTAAGGAGAATGTATTGTTCTGATAATGAGAGCTTTTGTCCTCCTTAAATAATTTAAATAGCCAAGCGTATAGTATGTTTACTTTTTCTTAACCAGATTTTGTTGTTCTTTTTGATACTACTTTATAAATAATCTCTTTCACTCCTTTTTCAGAACCGGCCCCTATTATTAATGAGTTACAGTTGAGTCTTTAAATGAAAAATTTAAATCTTTTATATTTGCTTCATCTTGGCCATTTGAATTATAAAGTGATATTCTAAATACATCTTATTTATAAAATTCTGCATAAAATGCAAAGTAAGAAGTCTGCTTATTAATTTTTTAATTAATTAATTATTCAAAAGAATAAAAAATTTACATAACTCATATATGAAAAACAGGCCCTCTACAAAAAATTTAACTATTTGTAGGTATTAAGGCTTGTTTTTTTAATAGCATCTTCATAATCATTAATTTAGCCAGCTGACATAAACATTTAAGAGATCATTAATGAACAAACATGTAAAGCCACTTGTTTTAAAATTTGCTTTAAGTTTTCTTTTTGTTCTTTTAAAAACACAAACGCCTTCGAGACGTTAAGCCACTAATAAACTATCCTGCAGACAGTTACTAACAACACTTTGTTCGGTCTTACAGACCAAAACAATATATTAAACTTTCTCTTTAGATAATAAAGCTAAAACCCCTAAAGACAAAAAAGACATCACAAAAAGTAAAGATCGAAATCTTGTTTTATTGAGTTAAAATAAGTACATATACACAATTTTAAAATAATCTTGATAGGTTAAACCTACCAGTTAAAATTAGTACAAATGAAAGAGCATACCCTCAATTGTATGGGATCTACCCTCTTTTTTATATTTTTTTAACTGCGCACTTAGTTGGATCATATAATCAACACAACTAACGAACATAGTAGCCAAAAAGGTTAAATGGTTTATTTGGGCTTTTAGGGAAATGCATATCAGGCGTGACCAGTTATTAAACTTATTAAACATTAATTTTTAAATCTAAAATTTATCAGAAAGTCTAATGTTTTACTTAGAAACACCATTAAAGAGGCATTGCAATATTTAAAATGGACCGCTTGCCACTTTGCAACTGCATTACATGAAATAATTTTTTAAGCAAAGTAATATTAATTAAAAGTTTCTAAATCTTTTCGGGTGTATATATTATCCTTACATTCATTCATTTAGTAAGCCAAGTTATTTCGAAATTTCCAATCTCATAAAGAGTACAGTTATAAACAGTAATAGTATTCTAAGAAGACTAATATAAGAAAAACTATATAGCAAAAAAAAAAACTCATTAGAAAGCGAGAGAGTTGTTTGTTAAACCTGTGAAAATTTACGAGTTTATTGGGCATCCCTAATATTAAAGTTAAGGTTAATCTCATCAGATAAAGTCTCTATTAAAAATATTACTAAAAAAGGAAAAGAGAGCGTAAACGAAAAAAGGGTTAAATTTGGTATTTATAATTCTTTTATGATTCCGAATTAATCTTGAGCTAATGAGGGTTTTTTAATGTTCAGGACTTTCGTAACCTTTCAGATTGTTAGGCTTTGACGCTTTAGAAAAAACAAAGGTTCAAAATGCAACTGGTTAATAGTTTGAGTGACGGAGGTTTGAAGGCTATATTTAGTTAGGCCTAAAGAGTTAATACTCTTCAAACCTTTTTCGCGTAAGGCTCACATTATCTTGACTTTTAAATTTAACTGGTACGGACGAATATGTACCTTTTGTAAATTATGAGCTCAAACAGACTTTTTTCGATAGATTTTTTTAATATTATTTAAGTTTTTCTTTAGTATGATAGATTTCAAACAAGAATATACATGAAAACCTACATATCAGTCTCTGCATATAAAGGCCACAACTCCCAAGACGTGTATATACGTTCTTTTTAATTAAAGGGTTAAATATGTGTTAAGTTTAGGGGTAGCAACGGCCTCCAGTAAAATTTTTTCTAAATTCATAATTTAAAAAAAATATAGTAACTCGAAAAGTATATTTTTAGCTTAACGTCTATAAAACACATGAGAGCAATAATATTTTTATCTTTTAAAACTACAAGTTAGCTCATAAATTTTAATTGAACTTTACCGATGTTTCTTTTATTTACTAACAATCATCCTGAGTAGATTGTTAAGTTTCCATCTACTATTTTACAAACTCAGCCGACCAATCCTTTTTCTAAACAAGCAAAAATGCGCCATAATTTGTAGGTTTATCGCAAATTTAAGGCTGTTGGGTATAAAGAGGGAGTCTTCACAAAGACTTTTTCTGGTAAAAAAAAAGAGTGTCATACAGCTGCAATTGACTGAAATGAAATTTAATGAAGACGACGTACGTAAGAAGTGTTTGTCTTTGTTCTCGTCTTTAGTTGAAGAAGTTCCTAAAGTAGCCTCTATAGCTAACTTATTAAGTTCATCTCCTCTTCTGGTTATAGGTTTTATAAAAATTGGCAATTATTTTTTCTACGAGACAAAATCAGGCTTTTTTATTTATAATGCAGTTGTGGACGTTTTTACAACTTGGGGCTACTTAAGAGAAGGCGTAAAAAGTAAAATACCTTTAAATAATGTGTCCTGGGTTAATAAATCAGGTTGCATTACTTTAAAGCTAAGAAATAAGTATATATTATTGTTGTTTTATGGTATAAATCAGGAGTTTATTATGAGTTTAGCAAAGTCAACTTGCATATCGAGATTCTTCAAAGTTCAGGATCTCAAATATCCGAACCGCACAAACGACCTTACTTAAAAGTTTTTCCTTTTACTTGCAACGTAAGTAATATATTTATTGCTGATATATAAATTTTTTTCAAACTTTATTATATAGGAACAAGAAACATATAATTTTGTAATTAAACCAGCTCTTTCAAATTTTTTCGAAGGCATTAAAAAAGAAAATCAGCTAAAAGAGTTTGAATTAGTTTCCTTTCTAGTAATTTTTATGACACGTAATTAAGTTTTACTCTTCTTTTAATCTATATCAAAAAAATAAAATATAGAAAGGAGTGTTTTTTTATATAAATAAAATATAATAGTTTGCAAGGACGAACGTGATAAGAAACGAAAGAACTTTCGGCTTATATATGATACCCTTCTAGCAGATTTTGGAAAAGATAATGAAAAGTAATTCAACTTTATGTAATAGAAAATTATTATATAAAAAATTTACTAAATTATAAAATTAAATAAAGCGATTTTTTAAACTTTTAAACGTTTTTTTTAATAAAATTTATTTATAGTTTTTATAAAAACGACTATAATAAGAATTACTAAGTTTTAAAAAGTGAATGAAAGTTACAATAGTAAATCTCCTGCCTTTAATATAATTTTTAGTTGCAATTAATTTAATTATTTGGAAATTTATAAATATTTTTATTTTGTAGACGTTTTTTACATGTTTTTGTGAAGCAAAACTTGTCAGGAAATGAAGAAAGAATTTATAATCTAATCTCTGGACGAATAGAGATTTTAGCTCTTGATAATTATGTAGAAGCTTTAAAGTTTTATGAGGAAAAACTTCAGTTAATTCCTCTTCTTTCTTTATAGATTTTTATATATTTATTTATAAGTATTAATATTTTGGATGGAGCTCTTCAAATTTTTATTATCTTTATGAATATTTATTAATTTTTTTTTACCGGTAATTAAGTATTTAAAATTATTTAAAATTACTTGTAAAGAATAATTAAGTATTCTAATTAAGATGTTTCTTAGTAGGAACTTTAGACTTCTTACAAATCACATAAATGTTTTGAAAATTTATAATTTAGTTAAACTTTTTTACGAAATTCGTTTTTTTTGAAATCGACTTCCTTATAAAGTTACTTACAAAATCTTTTTTATTATTTAATTTATTTTATTCCTTTTTTATATAACTATTTTATATTTTTAAATTAAAAATATCTTTTTAGTTCAATTTTCTACTTTTACTTGTCTTTCATTCAATTATTTTATAGACTATAATTTAAATATTTTGAATTAAATTTATTTTTGTTTTTGAATTTATTATTCTAACTTTTAGTTATATTTGTTGTAATTAGAAAATATTTATATTAATTAATATTACGTAATTCTTTATTATAAAATTGTAAAATCTGCTAATTAGCGTTTACTAATAATTATTAGAAAAATGAAATCTCAAGATGCACTGGAGTTAAATTTCAAGAAAATTATATTTCTCTTGGTTTTTTTTTTTAGAATTTTATTACACAAAATAAAATTTAATTATGAAAATAACAAATTTTTTATAACATGAATTTTGAATTCTCAATTTTCAAAATTTTTAACAGGAAAATATTATTGAATATAATAATACTCTTTTACTTTATGAAAAAAGTTTACTACAATACGATTTTCTTCTGGATATGTGCAGGATTTACTTCTCTTCAAAAAGTAAAATTCAGTTATCATCTATATTTTTTACAAATTTTATTAAAAAACTTCTTTTTTATATGCATATTTTATAGATGTAACATCGAAGATATTATAAGAATGTTATATTTATCCATTATTATATTATAAACATATTTAACTTATTTATTATTAGACGTTCTTAATTCTATTATGTAAATATCGTTTTCGCTATGGATGTGTTTGCTTTCCAAGGGTTACATAATTTATCATAAAAATTCTCCCTGTGTTTTCAGTCGTTAATAACCCATATTATAATATTTTTGAGTTTATAATATGATTTATACTAAATTTTATAACTTAGAGTTTACTATAAATACAGTTATAGGGCTTAAGATTAGTAAAATCAACATATATTAAAAAGTTAATAGAAAAAATTATTATTAATTAATATAACTCTTATTAATTTAAATCTTTTAAAATTATATAATTTATTTAATTTTTTTCTAGATTTATTGTTTTTTCTATAGAGAAAAGTTAATAAATATTTTTTTTATCATGATGTATAACTTTATTTTAATAAGTTTATATTTTCTTATATATTTTTAAGTTTTATAATATATTACACATTAAAAATTTATAATAAATTGTTAAAAAAAGTTATAGTAATATATTATATTTTATAAATGTTTCTATTTTACTGATAACATTTATCATAGAATATTAAAAATTTTGTAATACAATTAATTTATAATTATTAGTTAATATAGTATTTTTATAAAATAAAATATATTTATGTATATAAAGCCCTGAAATATAATTTTAATTCAAATTATATTTTTTTATTATCCAATTTTTTAATATAAATAGTTTTTCATTAAGATAACTTATTATAGTTTCAATATTTATTATACTCTACTAAATATTTTGTACTGCAATCAGTTAACAAGGATTAAAGTTATGTAATATTTTTCCTATTAACTAATATAATTTTAAATAAAATTTTATTTACTTTACTTCTTTATTCATTAAAATTTATTCATAATAAGTGTTGATAGTATAATTCATTATTTTCCAATTCCTCGATATCAACACTTTTTCTTCAAAGTATTTTTTATTTTACTATTAATATTATTTATAGTTTACTTAACCAAAACAACTCTTTCAAATATTTATTTTATCTTCATTATTTATTTATAATCATTTAAAATAAGTGTTATTATTATAATTTTTTTCTCCAATTATATATTTTTCTACTTCTTTAACATAAACGATATTTTACTAAAGTATTTTCCATTTTACATTTAATATTAATTAGAGTTTATATAATGAAAAATAATTTTTATTTATTTTAACTTCATTATAAATTTATATTTATATACAATAAGTGAAATTTTTTTTATAATTCATTTCTATAATAAAAACAATTTTTTACTAAAATTTTTAACATTAGCTTATAATTATTTTATTATTTGTAAAATTTATACATACACTTAAAAAAGTTAATATAAATATTTTTTTATTTAATATTATATATACTGACTTATATATACTTAATATTATTTTATTTATTTTATGTTATTGAACGAGTTAGTACACTATTAATAATTATTAATTTTTTAATGTGAACAAATATTTTATTATATTATGTATTATAAACTTCTCTTTTAGTTAATTATTAAAATATACATCAATAGTTATTATTATAAATAATAATATAAATTGTTTAATATATTTTTTACACCATGTCTATTGTAAATAATAAAAAAGTATATTTGTTTATTACTAGGAAATACATTAATTTTTGAAGCACATGACTATGAGTTGGGTTCGTGAGTTCATTATTACTTTTGCTAAAAAAAATATAAACCAATAAAAATACTTTTTCTTATAGGGTCGTTTAGTTTTCTCACTTTCAAGCCCCAAAAGTTGACTACATTTTTTTTGGAGGATCCCGTTCCTGGTACAATTTTTTTAAACGTGCTTCCTCATATATATATGTATAAAAGTTACTTATTATTATATTTATATAAAATTATTAATGTAGCATTTTTACACCTAATTTTGTTTAGGTTGACATGTATTTATTTTGGGATAATATATTCATAAAAATTAGTATTTAAAATATTTATATTATTATAGCTTTTTATAATGAGTAATAAAAGTTTTTGTATAAACTGATAAATAATTTGATAAAGTTTATTTTCAAGATATTTATTGATTATTTAAAGTTTATAGAAAAAATATTGCTTTTAGAAAAAATCATACTGTAGTGGGAATTTTTTTAGTAAAAAATTTTTTTAGTTATATAATAAAAATAAGCCAAAAAATAATTTTTATAAAAAAAAAAGTTTTATAAAAAGTGAAACTCATATAAAATTTAGCATTCCGCGATATTTGTAATAATTTCTTAATAACTATAAACCAATATGAATTTTTCTTAAAAAAAATTGCAGAGACTATTCAACTTTTTTTGCGTAGCCACTTTTTTTTTTTTAGCATTTTTTGCTATAAATTTTATATATATATTCATTATTTTTATTACTATTCAAGTTTGTATAAAAGGAATTTTATGAAACTTTTATTTACTGAGTAATCTTGGCAACTGCTTAAATACTTTTATTGTCATTAATAAATATTCAAATCAATCGTGCGTTTATTTATTTTGTTTCATTACTATAATATTTATATAATTTACTAATTTTATTTTTGATTCCATAATTAATTTATATATAATTTTATAAATTTTTTTTAGTATTATTTATTACTATATTAAAATTTGTTACTTGTAATAAAAAATTATAACTTTATTTGTTCTTATTTTTAATCTTTTTATATATTACATAATTATAAGCTATGCATTATACATTTTTTTAAATTATTATTACATTCAAATAATCTATATATCTTATTTTTTTTAATTTAATTTATATATAATTAATTTGAACTTTCTTTATTACTTTTTACTTTTTATATAAAAAAGATGAAAACTTTTTAAAAGATATTTTTTTTTTAAGAATTTATTATAATTTTCGTAAGTTATTTTAGACAATAATTATAAATTCAATTTTACTTATTTTTTTAGATAATTTTTTCTACATTATATAAACTTATTTTTAAAAATTTCATTATATATATTATTTCTTTTATTACTTTTATCTTTTTTTTTTTTTAAAATATATTTTATATTCTTTTAATAATTTTCAGTATATATTTATAAATTTTTAACTTTACTTATCTATATATTTTCATATATTTCTTTCATACTATTCCCGTTATATATTTAATTTATAACTTCTTTATATTTTATTAATATTATTCATCTATAGTAAAACTTTTATATAATTTAAACTTACCTATTTTTATTAATAATCTCGTTTTTCTACAGCTTAGAATATCTTTAATTTATAAACTATTTCTAATCTAAAGTTTTTCACTAATAAGCTTTTGCTTTCATGCAACATCTATTCAGGAATCAAGTCATTTTGTCCTTTAAACTTAATAAGTAAGATTTTTTTCAAGATAAATAAATTTTATAATTTTTTTGGAGTAAAAAAAACTTTTAAGCGGATATAATTAAAAATTTTTATTAAAAAAAATGCTGTAAAGACCGTGCAGAGCCAATACGTAGTTTGCTATACATTGCGGTACATGCTATCCAGAAAACCTTAAAGACAGACTAAGCATATGGTTTTTGACACATAGTAGAATCGCCATCGCATTTAAACTTAGAAAAGTTTTATTTGTTAAAAATTTTGATGTGTTCATAAAATTTTACTTCTTCATTATTTCTATAACAGTAATTGCTTTTATAGAATCTAGTCGATAAAAATATAATAGTATTTAAACGATGATGACTTTTTTTATTTATTTTTTTTTCTCTTCCTAATTGCATTCTAGAAATGAACGATAAAAGCGTTATTTTAAAGTTTTATATAATAATAAATAATAAAAAGTACTGCAAAACTAATGATTTTTTTTAAGTAACGAGTATTTATTGTAATAAATAATTTTTTCTAAAGTATCTGCAATATTTTTATTTGCAGATACTCATAATAATAAAATTACCCCCTCCCCACCCCCCTTTTTTTTTCTTTATACGACAATGGAACTATAAAAGAGTGATAAATTTAACGGTTATTTATGTGAACTTATTCATAGCAGATAAGGTAGTTTCCATTTACGTAGTTCTTTATTAAATTATGGAACAGATGTTGAGATATCGCTAATAAACTTGACTCGAATTAACAAAGTTAAGGTGAATAGCATGTTATGTATTATACTTAATGAAATTTAGATTGACAAATTATTAACTCTTTTAAAAGTTCATTAAATTAATGGGTTATTATAGAGGGCTTAATAACAATTAAAAATAAAAACAACACTTCGAAACTAATAACTGGATAAATAACGATATATATTGGTGTAAATATTAAAAAAGTGTATGCTATATTTTTATATATAAATACTTATTAAATAAATATATTTTTTAACTGAAAGGGTCATTACAGAGGTGTTGATAATAAGAAATAACAAAAAAGTATTGCAATACTAATAACTCTTAAAAATATATAATGGTATAAATGTTGAAAGGGATATGCGAACTTTCATATATAAATACTTTAATAAAAGGAACATTACGAGTACTATATAGATTTATTTTTACTTTTTTTTTATATTATAATTATCTTGAAGGTAAAAAGTTTAATAAATAATTTTATTATAAAAACAGGCCAGTTGAAGTTGCTGAAAAAACAATACACTTTCTTGAAAACATTTGCTTTACTGTAGTATTATTTTCAGTTTTTTTGTGAATTTTTAGTCATGGCGATGATAATTTTGATATAGAGCTGCTCATTGGATGATGCCGAAGATAAAAAACATAAACTCAACCTTTTTAATGTTTGGGCTTTTACTTGCTGTGTCCGCACAGTAAACGGTTTTTATTTTAATAATCACCACGTTTATATCGTAAACAATTATTTTTATTTTTTATAAATTTTTATTATTTTTTATATTCATTAACATCACGTCCATATCGCGGATAATTATTTATTTTATTTATAATTTAATTATTATTTTTTATTTCAATAAGAGTACATCGTAAAAAGTTATTTTTATATTCTGTTTAATTTATTAATTTTACTATTTTTATCAGCTCTCGTGAATCATTATGTTTCTTATTTTTCTTTTTTTATTTATCATTTCATTTTTTTTTAGCATCACTTTTCTATCGTGAATAGAAATCATTTATTAAATTTCTTATAATATATCTTTATTTTTCATATATATTTATGTTCACTAAATAGTTTGTTTGGAGACAACTTTCACAAAAAGTAAAAAGTTTTATGCTGCGCTTGCAGAACTCTCCAAAGTTGCCTTAAATAAAGTAAATATTATACACAAAAAATTCCAACACTTGAAATGTATCATTTATATTGGTAACCAATTATATTTTTATAGCAATAACCACTAATAGTCTATTATGTTTGTCTCTCATAAAGTTATGGCACGTGCTATTATTGTAGTCGTTAAAATATTATTTTTGGTTTTTTGTGATATTTCTAACTTTTAGTAAACTATTTTTGTAATGTTATTTCATAAAATTTTTAAAATATAAATTCTGCAAAGAAATTAGAGACGGCGTTATCTAAATATTAAAATAACAATAAAATGTAAACAAAAAAATATTAAAAAAATTAATTATAAACATAAATTATTTTTTATAATAATATAATTTTTCTATAATTACAGATTTAAGCAAAAAATTACGCTAATAAAAAAAAAATTTATTTTGATTTCCTTTACTCTTAATAAAAATAACACTTATATACTTTGTAATAAAATTTTTAGTAATATTTTTTTTAAAAGGATTCATAATATAATAATAATAAATAAATTAAACAGCTTGAAAAAGTTGCACTGTATTCTGGAATTCTCCCAGTAAAACTAACGGATTTTACCAAGGTTTATTTGACATTAAAGCTTTTGACTCAAATAAAAAGTTAAATACAATTTCATTGGTTGGCTAAGTTATTGATTGCCAGTTTTATATCTTTTTTTAGAAACTATCAAGTATCCGACCAATTGACCTTCTTTGCAATGATCAGCTGGACCAATCAAGTGGAATCTCTATGTGTAAGTTCACTCTTATAAGCGTTAGCATAAATATATATTAAAATGAAATGCATGCACAGTTATGAATAACTTTATAGTAACTTTTTTATTACTATAAACATTTGTTAAATAAGGAAAATTATGAAAAAGTTACTAGAATTTTGTAATTTTTAATAACAAGTAATTGTTGTGAGTTTGTTTTTTTTAAAAAATATCTGTATTGTAGTTAATTAATTGCTAATATTATTCGGTTTATAATAATATAAAAAAATCAGTTTTTTTTTTGTTATTAACTTATTTTAAAATTAAAAATATTTTATTATAATATTTTGCCGTTTTTAAATATTCATTTATAGTGATTATGTCTCCTATAAATTTATTTATAAAAAAACTGATAATATATTGACCAATAACCTTTTTTAAACGGGTAAGCAAAAAAATTATATTAAGCGTCATACGAATTTTTTTTTGTATTTATAAGTGATATGTTAAATTTTATATTAAAAAATTTATAAATTATTAAATAATAATTTTTTTTCTTAAAATTTTTTTAAATATAATTTAATATTTTCTAAAATCGTTATATTTTTTTGAAATATAAATTTTTATATATAAATTCCATTTAATTATTATTATTGTTACTTCCATTATTGCTATTATATATTTCTACTTATTGTTATATATAGTGTTGCTTTATTAAACTTATAAAAATTTTTATGCTTTATAGCTCAATTTCATTAATCATTTCATTTCTAAAATCATGAAATAGTTATAAATATGTTATTCGCTATCTCGTTAACTTAATAATAAGTATAATATTAAAACTAATAAAAAAAAAACCTTTTTAATAGTAATCAATAGTAAGACCACATTTTTATTATGTAGTAAATATAAGATAAATAATTTTTTTTAAATAAAAGCTACTTCAACCAAATCAAACTTATTAAGACATGTCAATAATAAAACGCTTTTGAAGGTTTGTAGTTCCATTGAAACTTTTTCTAGAACTTTTGAGGTTTTTCTTTATTATGTAAAATAAAAATATAATTATCAAAAATTATTGGCTAATCATTTTTTTTTCGCTATACTCCTTCGGTATTTTCGTTTTTTAAAAAATAAGATACTAAAATTTTATTTGTCATAAAGCTTTCTTATTACCATTCTTATTGGCTAATCGACGTTTATTAATACCTCATATTTAAAAAATTGTTAGCTTAAATTTTATTTAATTATTAGTTAAGTGTTTGTTCTTATTGGTCTGTTTAGTTCTTAAAAAGTTTTAATACATCAACTTATAAATCTTCTGTTATTTGCAAAAAAAAATTCTTCTAAAAAAGATTATTGACTACTCAACTTTTAATTTTCATCGATCTGTTCAGTTCTCGGAATTTATAGTAACATAATTTTAAGATGAAATATTTCATTAAAATGAAATTTATTGGTTACTCAATTATTAGTTTTTATTGGTTCCTTAACCAGTAAGAACGCTTTAATTTCGACTTTTTTAAATAAAAAAATTCATTATTTTATTATTCCTACTATCTTCTGTTATTTATTTATAATGTCATTCATTGGCTAACCAATTATAGTTCGTTTCACATCGACTTGTTGATTTTTGTACTGCTTATTTTTTGATTCCTTTATTGCTTTATATAAATATAATTTTTATTATCGTTTTTATTGGTTCATGAATTGTTTTCTAAAGACTATTTCTGAAGCACTTTTGGCGCTCTATACCGCCTTGAAGAGAAAAAGATCCGTTAATTTACTGAACTACGATTTAGCCGTCTTATATTTGTATTTTTACTAACATACACACAAATTCTGTATTTTTAAAAATTTTACTTATTTTTATTTTCCTGTTTTTTATAGGAAGTGGTATTATTGATAAATTTCGGTATAATTTTTTAATATTAAAAAAACCACTTCAGTTACATTAAAAATAATAATACTTTTAACAAAAAGATTTATTAATAACAACTAGAGCTTGTTTGTATTTAATTAGAAAAGGTTTATTTTTATTTGGCATTAACTTTTATTCTTTATATACGTAAAGTTTTTTCTAAATTTTAAGCAATATTACTCGTTAAAGTAAAAAGCACTGCACATTATTAACAACTTAAGTACTTTCAAAATTATGAGTGAGCCGTAAATACTTTAACTTGTTTATAGACAGCAACAGAGTCTAGAAAAAGTATAAAGTTTTTAATAAATTTATTATATTTTTTTAAAAATAACTAATTTACTATTAAAAAGTTGATTAAAATTAATATTAATTTGAAATTAAAAATATGAATAACGGTTTCTTTTTCACTTTTTATGAGAAAAGAAAGTAAATTTTCTTTAATAATTATATATAATAAATTAAAAATAAATTAGAGAAGCAGAGTTAAAAATAAATAATATTAACTAAAAAAATAGGAGACTGACGAATATATAAATAGTAAATAATAAGTGAAAACTATAAATAAATTATCATGAAATAATAAAATTAATATAGAAATAATGAGGCTTCTAATATACGTACAAATCATTAAAACTTAAGAAAATACCATGTTATAAATAATAATGAATAATTATGAATTAGTAAGAAAAATATTTACAAATAATTATTTAAAATAATAAATAAATATTTATTTATAAAAAAAATTTAAAATGTTAATAATAAATAAACGTATTCTTTCGAATGTTTTAAGCTTACTAATGGGAAAAAAAAGGTTATAAAAGAAAAGTATAGCAAAAATGTTTAAATTTTTTATAAAAACGGCAATCCGAGAAATTTTTATTTGTAAAAAAGTAAAAAAAAAAAAAAAACAACCAAAAAAAATAATATATTAATAAACATTTATATACCCTTATTAAGAAAAAATTACTGAAAAACGAAAAGTAAAAATAAAGTTAAATTTACTGTACTACTGAAGTTTATCTAAAAGATAAATATTTTGAAATATACATTTGTTAATAATATTAAGTTTTTCTGCGTATAATAAAATTTGAAAACTTTTATCAATTAAAGTAACAAGCAATCATTAAATAGTAATACCCAAGAGAGATTTCTAGTAAAGAAACTTTTAAAGGGATTAAAAAACTTGTTTAAAAGAAAAAAAATACTGCAAAGTATACGCATAAAATGATTGTAATATTTAAAATATTAAAAAATTATCTTATAATAACCTTTTTTTTTTTAGAAAAAAGTGCACAAAATGTTATTTTATTAAAGCAAAAGTATAAAAAATAAAATAATAAAAATAAATTTTTTATTAAATATTAAAAAAATTTCCCTATAAAAAAGGAAAAAATTCTACAATAGGAACAGATAATATTTAAAAGTTTTTCTACTGTGTGCAGTTAGAGTGAGTATCGGTATCAAGCTAAAAACTGCTGATACCAGATAAAGGCACGCGCACATCCAACATTACTATTATTTTGTGAATATAAACCCCTTTTAGGGGTTATACTGCGTGTAAACGGCCGTTCCGAGGTTTCGTATATACCAAAGGTGAGGGTAGCCACCACAACTAGTAGGAAACTTGAGGAAAATAAATAAATTTAATAAAAGTTTGGAAAAAGATTATTAAAGAATAAAAAAAGGAAACGCACAAATAAAGTCAACGACTTTTCGTTCATAATAAACTTTTTTTTATATTTTTAATTGTTTATTATAATTATATTATTTTTAATTTTTACTATTATTTATTATAATAATTTAAACTATTTTTATAATTTATTATCGTTATAATCCTTTATACTATTTTTATTATTTATTATTGTTTATTATAATTTATTTATACTAATTTTATTTTTTTATTATTGCTTATAATAATTATTTATACTATCTTAATTTTTATTGTTTATTATAATTATTTATACTATTTCTGTTAATGTTTATTATATTTTTTTGACTAAATATTTTTATAATTTCACTTTTAATATATTTTATTTATATTAGTATTCTATTAATAGTTATTTTTATTTACCTCAATATTTAGATATTTGCTTATTATTTTATTTTTCTTCATAGGTATTATTTGCAAATTTTTATTATTATTGAGTCAATATTTAAATGATTACCTTTTATAACATTATTATATAGTATATTTACTTTTTATTTATTTTTTTTCTTCTTCTATATTCTTTTATTATATATTTAGCATAATTTACTTTTTATTCATGTCTATCCTTTAATTTTTTACAACTTTGCCTTTTTCAGTACAATTTTATTATTTTACTTTATAAATTATTTTTGCTTTATAATAATATTTGTTATAATTAATTGTTATTTACATAAATATTATTGTTACTATTAGGAATAACAACAATTATGAAGCGGCCAGTAAACTTCTAGAGTCAGTTTTTCAAAGTTATAACAAAGACGGTTGAGTACTTTTCTTAAATTTTTTTTATATTTTCTTTATAACAAGATTGATGTCAATATTATATAGTATAAATACATTGAGAGTTCTATAACTAATACATTTTAATATTTACTTATTATTAAAAATGGTGTACTTAAAAAAATAATATTTTATTTATTTATTAAAGAATTATAAAACATTTGTAATGCTAATAGTTACTTATATAATATAACTTCTTAGTATAAATAAAGCTTTATAGAAAGTATTTAAAAGAACACTTTTATAATATGTTTTATAATAATTTAATGTATTTAATGATTTTGTTTAATATTTTGCAAGAGTATTTACTTTTGAATAGATTGTATTTTGATAAATAAAAAATATTGTTATAAGTAATCAATATATTTTATTTTATCTCTTAAAAAAAAAAGAAAATAATAAAACTCATGTTTTTTTTTAAATATTTATTTTTAATTATTGAATTTCTTTTTCTTAATATTTATTATTCTTTTATTATTTATATAATTATATAAATTCATGTGAAAATATATTTTACTATTTTTTATTATTAGTAAAATTTTGTTTAAGTATCGCGAACTTTCGGTTTTACTTTTTATAATTTTATAAAATATCATAAAATTGTTGCGTACTAAAGTTTATGCTTATAAAGGATTTTTACTTTTTATAATATTTTTTTTGCTGTTATAAAATATAATTCTAATAGTTAATAGTTTTCGAAAAAAATTATTTATTAATATTTATATTAAACTTATTTATAAAACATGTTTAATATTATTATAAACTTCGAAATATACTATTTTATCTTTATTTGAAATATTTCATTATTTATTAAGATATCTTTGATTTGTTTTATTAAAAACTTTAAGTATATTATAAACTTTAAAAATATTATTACTTTTTTTATTCTTTAAAGAATTTATATATTATTCTTTTTTCTATTATTTTATTTTATTACAAAAGTTATGAAAGTGACAATTTTTATGTGTATTATAATAACTTTTTTACTTTTTTTAAATACTTTAAGTAGAAAGTTCGTAATCATTTTTTAGTTTATTTTACTTTACTCTAGTAAAACTTATTTTTAAAAAAGCTTTTATTTTATAATACATACCTCAAAAGCTTCATACTTTTATAAATAAAAGTTTTTCGTAATTTTAAAGTTTTTCTATAAATTGTTCTAAATTTTTAAATATATACTTAAAAAATGTATAATAAATATAAAAAAAATTAACAGTTTTTATATGTATTTTACTCATAAGCATTCGGATTTCTTATAATTTTGTGCAAATAATACTTTAATCAAAATCTATTTGGTTGAAGATTATAATTTTTTTTTGAAAGTTTGATAATTTCTTGAAAGTTGCGAGAGAAAATGTTAGTAGCATTTTCAGTGAGTATACAATATTTTTCCTGTGAATCATAGAAATAATGAATAAAAATATAATCGGTACATGCATTAATTTAAAGAATTATTAACCTTTCAAAGTTTCTTTTTTAACTTTTTTTTAAATTAATATTCATAAATTATAATAATGAAAAATATATTTGTTTCACTCTAAAATTTTATTTAAACTGATTTACGAAAAAATTAGCGGATTATTGGGTATCATCATTATTGATTTTATTAGTAAAGCAAACTGTTTTTTAGTGCGGATTAATACTCCCAACATTTTAAACATTTTAAAATATATAAACTTTTTAATAGGACAACTTTTAATATAATTTCAATCATTACTTTCTTACAATAAATCACTTATTTTTATTGACCAAAAATTTAAAGGCTGGTCACTACTGGGCACTCAGTTGTACAAACTTTTATTATTTTGCCAAAGGAAAACAGGAAATAACTTAAAGTTATTTTCATTATTATTCTTATCTTTATATTTCTTAATAATAATATTATCTATTTAAAGGTATATATAAATAAATTAGAAAATAGTGAACTTTTTTTTTTACTTTTTTTCTAATAGCTTTATAGAAAGTTGTTGCTTAATTTTATCAAACGAGTCATGTGGATTCTTGCAAAGAACGGAAGCTTTAGATCATCTGCTGGATATCTCAAAGAGCCAATCAAAAGGTATGCTTATTATTCGTATTGATAATTTTGGGCAAAAAGTTAAAAAAATTTCATCATAAATATTCGAGATGTACTAAAAATTATAAAAATATAGATCACTTTTTTTTAAGGAAAACACGTAAAACGCAAAAACAAAAATTAAACTATTCAAATTAAATAATATAAGCATATTTTGGCCAATCGATACTATTGTTGAAAAATATATATAATTAATTTGGTAGTTTTAGCCATGTAAATTTAAATACGAGTTTGTCAGTACTCAATAAATTTTTTTTGCTTTATAATATTAATAATAATTATAATAATAACAATATATGAAATGTAACTCTTCTTAATAGAAGTTGTTCTACAATCACAATGTTTTTTAGAAAGCAAAGTTTCTTCTGTTGAGGTATTCATCATTATATTTACTGTAATTATTATTATTAATTGTAATAATTGATGGGGAAAATATTAAGCATATAGAATTGGGTGCTTCTGTTACTTTAAAGCTAACGGTACTCAGCCATGCGCCACTGGTAGTAATTTGTTGTATTAACATAATAATAATAATAAATAATGATTATAATTATAGTAACAATAATTATAACAATAATTGATAACAATATCAATAAAATTAATATTAATCTTAGATAAATTAATATAATAAAAAAAATTATATTTTACTTAATAATTTAATTAAAAAAAGGACATTATTGTTGATAGAGTAATTCTTTTTATAGAAAAGGATGACTCTCGAGTAAGTCTCACATTTTTGATATTTTTCATTATAAATTTTTGTTTTTATCATTATTTAGCCTGTAGAAACTAATATGAATCCATCAAATCTTTTTAAAAATTTACTGGAAAGTAATACAAATATAACTATACAGAACGCAAAAGTTATACTAATAATATTATATTTGTAATAAATATGAATAATGAAATATTATAGTACGAGGCACCTAAAAATAACGAACCTTTTAAAGAAAAAATATGTTTAGAGCATATTCTACTGAAGAGTGAAAGTAACGAAGTCTTTTTTCATTATGAAGTTAAAATAGCTTATATTATTATTTTTTCTTGTGATTATTATTCATCATAATTATGAAGTTTGGGGTAATACAATATTTTTTTAGAGTACTAATTTGGGAACTTTTATGGTCACGAAAATCTGTTATGTGATTGGAGGAGTAATATTTTGCTCTACTTTTCATGGTTATTATACATTCATTTATATTTGTATTAACAATATTTATATTATTTATCCTTATTATCTATTTATTATTACTTTTCATTATTCTTATAATTTCTATATTACAATTTATATTACTTTTTGATGGTATTTCTTATTCGCGTACACAATTCTTTTTTCATTACTTTTTGGATAAATATGTATTTTTTTATTGCCTCCTTAAAAATATGCTTTATTTTGTGTCACTTTCATTTTTAGCGATAAGTAATGCTCCATAATTTTTTTTATTGAAGCGCTATTATTTATTTCTGTTGTACTTTTTTATAGGATGGGGCCTTTCTCTACAACTTTCAAACTTTCATTATTTTCTTAGTAAATTTCAATTATTAATCCTACAGTAGTCGCAGAGGGGTCTCACAGATCTGAAAATTATTTTGTTTTTTAAATTTTCTAGTTGGATAGAAGTTAAAGTTTCGTGTGACCTGTATCCTAATATCTCAGTAAACCTCGTGTTCAAAATTTTAATATTTTTTATTTAATATAAAAGTAAAAAATTCAAAACTCAAGAGGTCTGAGAGACCCACTGCAACTTCTAATGCCTAAACAAGAGGAGGGACTACTATAGGATTAATAAAATTTTAATATATACATTACATAAATATTTTACTTTTAATAAGCTGTTGCTTTTTTTTTAATTCATTATTTTTATTAATATATTTTATATCTTTCCAATTTTATTAATAATAATAATAATTTTTTGATATACTTTTTGAATAATATATTATTTTTCTCATTAAAATTATAAGTAAAAGTAACCATTAAATAAATTATTTAAAAAATAGTTTAAATAATAATAAAAGTTTTTTTTTATTAATAATAATACCAAAAATAATAAAAAGTATTTTTGAACTTTTCTTAGTGATATATATTAATAAGTTTATAAATACACTAATAAAAAGGAATAATAATAAAAAGTTAATAAAAATAAGTAATAATTATTGTTAATGCGCTTTTTGATTATTTGAAATATTCTGTTAATAATAAAAATTTATTAAAAAATATTATTTAATATCGATTTATAAGAATTTCTGGTAAAAATGTAATTATATTAATAAATGAACATAATGTCAATAAAAAGTTTTACTAATAGGTTTCAATATATTTAGTTCTAATAATAATCAGAATTTATTATAATAACTTTCTTTATACGCCCTTCTCTTTGAACATAATAAAAGTTTATTTATTTTTCTATCACTATGTTTTTTATTATTTTATATTAATAAATATATATTAAACTTTGTTATCATTACAAATTTTAATTATGAACATTATTTAATAAATAAAAATAAATAAGTTAATATAATTATAACAGTAATAAATTTAACAATCAGCAATTATTATGTTAAATTATTTTTTATGCGCCCTCTCTTCGCATATTTTTGTATATACTAAATATATTTTTTTTCCTTCGCGAAGTGTTTAATTTTCTATAGTAAAAAATATTTTTTAAAGTTTTAGTAATATTTATTATCAAAGATTTAATTTTTTTTACTAACTTTTGATTTAAAAAATACATTAAATATATTTAGGAGTTAATATGTTAATAATCAAGAAAAGTAATACAAAAACAAATTTATATATTTTTGATTTTTATTACTAATAATATGCACTTATTATAATGGTTTCTCCTTATTTCCACTTCTCTTTTCTTTTTCGCGATATGCTTTATTATTTATAATGACAAAAATTTATTAACTTTTTCTTAATATTCTTTATAATTTTTATTATATTTCATTAAGATTTTAAGTATTAAAAAAATAATAAACATGTTTATATTAAATGAATATTAAAATAAGTAAACATAATAATAATAATATAAATAAATTCTACTGATAGATTTTATATATATATTTTTTTGCAGTTATTATATATTTATATCCATTTTTCTTTACGATGTGCTTTATTATTTATAATAAAAAATATATTTCAATAATTTGTTAATTGTTGACTTTTTATTAAATATTTTCAATATTTTAATATTAAATTATTTTTCAGTTAAACGTTTTTTGTAGCTCTTTTATTTTTATTAAAATAAAAATTAATTTATTAGTTAATATCTAGCAGCACTAAAATTAAAAATAATAAGAAAGTATAAATATTAAATATACTTATTATTATATAAAATTTATTGCTAGTTTAATAATTATACAAGGTGAAAAAATGTTTCCTGTACTTTATATATATTCAAAGACATTTTTTCTATAAATAAATTATTTTTATTTATTTTCTGTAATAAAATAGTAATAATACAAATAATATGCTCAATAATATATAAAAACTTAAATATAAACACTAAATTTATAATTATTGTACTAAATTTTATTTGTAACTTTGTTATTAATATTTTTATGCTTATTATCATTATAATAATAAACTTTCTCAAAAATAAAACTATTGTAAACTTTTTAAAGTTTTATTATTATAAGCAATACATAATTTTTTTAATATGCTTTATGTTATTATTAGAATTGAACTCTCGTTTCTGCGTAGCGCCAAGCACCTGCAATATTTCATTATATTCAAATATTATTGAAAAATGCACGTCATTATTAGTTATAGTATTCTTAGTTATCCATAACTCACGTGTATGGCATAGTTTGTTTAAACGGTGAGGTACATCACGTGGAAGTTCAACTTTTTTCCCGCAGCGACTCGTATGAAAAAGGGGAACTAAAGTTTATAAGAAGCAATGGTGTATAAATCGTATTATTACTATCTCTATTACTATTATTATTATTATTATTATTATTATTATTATTATTATTATTATTATTATTATTATTATTATTATTATTACTATTTTTATTATCATTATTGTTGTTTTTTATCAGAGTTTATACCACTAAATACTGAAAATACCACGTGTTTAATAAAAAAAGGTTTTTTAATATAAAAGTTGTTTATGTATTTATTATTATTATTATTATTATTATTTAGAATCTTTAGAAGAAGTACACAATAACTTTTTAGAAGAGGTCTAAAATTTTAATGAATCATGAATTATATTTCTCAAGTTTTTTAATTTATTTATTTTCTACTACTTATAATAATTGTGATATGAATATTATATATACTATAATTACTTCGTTTAATAGCATTATAGTATTCATTATAACTTTGACGGTCTATAAAAAGGCAAGAGATATGAGAAAGATAATTTCAGCATTTACTCAACTTAATATAACTTTTCTTACTATTTAACTTAATATTTTAACGCCACGCTACCAGTTAATGATTTGCTTACCATTTAAATTAATTTGGTGTAATTTAATAGTTAACGTTTTATTAGAATGTTTTGGGTATCTTCTAGTTATAAATTGGCTTCTTTTATGTAAAAGTGATGAATTGTTTTAAGTTATATCTACTGCATTGATTGATCTTTGGAATGATATGCTTTTTTACTGAATTTCCTCTAAATAGTAAAATTCTCTTACATATTTTTGAGCCTTTCATATTTGGTTTAAATCGCTGCCAAATATTTGACTTTTTTAACGCCCCATTTAACAATGCTGCTTTCGCTTTGCAAAGTTTTACAATACATAAATAATAAAGCAAAGAAAAGTGTTTAAAGAGAAAAGCTTTTTATAAATTACCACTTAAAAAAGGAAGGCAATATTATAATTTGTGGTATAAAGAGAATCTATTTTCGTTAGAAAAATGTTTTAATAAAAAACTTTTTTAGAAGATGCCTAATTATTATTTATATAAAATTTACTTTCTTAATAAAATTTTATATATATATAATAATAATATTATGAAACTTACTAGTAATAAACTCTTGCTTTACATTTATTCTTGCCAATCTTTTTTTTATAATAAATTCTCTTTAAATAATTTATTTTATAATTAAAAAATAATCTAAAAGATGCATTATTATTTATAAAAATTTTACTTTATAAACTATAAAATTTTTTTTAAAAAATTTACTTTTTCTTTTTGGGTTTTTACTATAGAACAGTTTCCTTATTTATAAAATTCTTGAAAATTTTTCCGTTGTTTAAAAAATATACTTAAACTTCTTGCTATTATACTTTTTAAGGCCCTTCTACTATTCGTTCAATATTTTTTTACTATAATTTTAAATTTTTTGTGAATTCCACTTCAATATTTATCAAACTCTTAAAATAAAAATATTTCAAAATTAAATAACTTTTTTTAGCAATAAACTTTTCATAACAATTAAAAATTAAATAAACTTTGAAAATATATTTTACATATTTGTTTGTGGATTTATTAAATATTCCTGTTATGAATGCTGTGCATTTCTATTTATTAGTAAATTTTTTATATTATTAACTATAGATAATTGAAGTAGTTTCTATTATATTAATATAACAATACTTAAACAATTTATCCCATATTTTTTATTTTAATTCAGAAAATATTGTTACTTGTTTATATATTTTTATTAATTTTTATTCTTGAAGACTATTGAATTTGCAAAAATTTATTTGTAATAACCTCTTTCGCTCCTGAAAGTTAAAGCATTTTTTGATAGGCTTCCTTTTTATTTAAATAAATTTGATTAACCGAATTTTCTGCAACACAATCTCTTTTAATTGGATAAACATAGTCCAATAATTATTAAATAAAATCGGCGATATGCGTGCAAATATTTAAACGTTATATTTATTTTTTTTATTTTTAGTATTTTAACATTATTCAAAACATTATTGAAACTATTTTTGATACATTTTTGTTAATCTTTTACTTTATTGAAAGTTTTTAATTCAGCATAAACACGAAAATTCCCTCAGTTTTTGCTTACCTGCTATTCTGCCTTTTCATTCAATGGATATTAATTTTCCCTTTAAAATTCAAGCAAATATAACTTTTATTGAAGTTGTTTGTTGCGTTATTATTTTATTACTATTAATATTAAATTATTTTTTCAGATTATTATTTCTATTTGCTTGGAAAAGTCTACAGGCGAGGTTTACTCTTTCGACTTTTCCACACGCGCAGAAGTTTTTATTCCCTTCACTATTTCTGTAGTGCCACACGTAAACCTATGCGAGGACAGGTTATTATTAGATTCAATTATATAATATTGCAACCTTTTTTTAGATTATTTGGGTCTAATTAATTCAATTTATAAAAAAAACGCTCATTCTACCAAAATAAAATAGTGAAAATTTGTATGAAATAAAAATAGTGAATTGCCTTCCTGTAGATGTCTGGTTGGACGATATTGAAATTTACCCGACAAATTCTTTGTGCTCACCTCAAATTACTATTCTTGAAAAAAACGTTCATTTTTACAACTATATTATTATTCCCGTTATTCATTATTATTATGAAGATAAAATTATGCTCCAAGGGAAATTACTATTTCGCTTGTGAAAAAATTGGTTACCAATTAAATTTCATTAAAAACTTAAATTATAATAAAAAATATATTTAACGTATTATAATAAAACTTTTTCGTTAAGTTTCATGAAAATATGTCAATACTTTTTTTTTAAACAGATCACAACGCTAAGCTTTTACTGAAGTACGCAATAAACGGAAAAAAAGTCGTACATGTTATTTTTCTACTAAACAATAATTTAAATAAAAATTCATTATAGTCACAGCGGCGGACTCTAAAATTTTCTAAAGAGCTCGAGGAACTAGATAATAATGTTCATTTTTTATTATAACTAATATCAAAAGCGCTCGACTTTTCCATAAACTATAGTTTTTGCTTATATGTAAATGAACAAAATCTTTGCTTCTTATTTGTAAACTTCTCTTTAGAAAGCGCAGTTTTTAACGAGTATTGAGCTCAGTGAGGCCAATAGTAACGTTGTGGTATTTAGCGTTGTGCAAGTAAAAGTTTTTATTCGTTGTTTAGGTACAGCTATGCTTGCGAGTATGATAGCTTGTAGGAACTTTTTTCAATATCAATATTCCTACAGCAACGGAGAATTTTTATGAAAAATCTCTGTTCACAGTAAATGTGGACAGTCCGTCATCCTATTGGCTCCTCTGCGGGTTCCACGTGAAAGAGTTTACCTTGAACCAGGCAAGTTACTCTAAGTTTATTTATCTCTGCTTAAAACTGCGACTAAATAGGAGGGCTGTGCAACGCTGGAATTTAAATTGTATCCGCTTAGTCCAGGCTACCTGCCTCTCCCCCACGTGGCCATCTTCCAAGGACCCGCCAATGAGAGATTTCACTCTCCCCCCCATGGAGAAAACTCGAACCTGGACGTTACGTTCGGATCGAGCTTTCTCGAGCCTGCCGGGCCGCCCACGCTGCTTGGATGCCCTATGAAGACAATTCACCAACCTCAATGGGTGACTGTGCTCCACCAATCTAGAAATCAATTGGTAATACTCACTCGCGACTTTGAATAACGCGGTAACCAATCAAAATGAGAGTTTAATGTCAACGAATAAGTTTTTTTGTGAAATTTAAATATTTCGTTTGACTTCCCTATTGGATATGCAAAAGTTTATAATAAATAATAAAGTATTATTAGAATTGTTGAATTTTTATTGTATATTTTTTATTTTAAGTTAATCATTTATTGGTTATATTATTTTTATACATATCTATTTTCTATAAATTTAATATTTATCTTTATTAGTGATCTTCTAATTTATTACTTTCTATACTTTTTATATTATATTTTTAATATTTAATATATTATAATTTTCTTTTATATTTATTTAAATATATATATATTTTATAATATTATAATTATATATAATTTTTAATTTTTTTATAACAATTTATATATTATTTCTTTTTTATAATAATTACTTATAAACTTTTTTTTTTAAAAATTATTTACGTAATATTCTTTTATAACAATGAATTAATATATATATTATAAATTTTATTATTAACTTTTTACTTTAATAAATTATATTTTTAAAAATAGTTTTTAAATTAATTAATATATTATTACTATTAAATAATATTTTTTCTACTTTTTCTATATATTATTTATATTTATTATATAAAATATTCATAATTACAAATAATATTATAAACAATTATTACAAAAAAAAAGATTTCTAAAATATTTTTTTTATAATTGAATTAAATAATAACTTAGTTGAATTAGGATAACTTAAGGATTATATTTAATAAAATTTAATAATAATATTATTATTAATGGCATAACAAACTTTTTCCGATATTTTTAGAAAAAACAAAACTTTATATAGTTTGAATAATGAATATAATAATTTATTTGACCATAACAAGAAACTTTATAATAATACGCAATTTTTAATATCAAAATTAATATAATAAAATTCAATAAACAATTCATAAAATAATAATAGTATATTAATATAATAATAATAAAATAATTAGTATAAATTTATTAAACATTATAATAATAAAAATAAATCATTTAACAATAATCTTTTTTTTTAATAAAAAATTTATAAACAAAAAAAAAGTTTAAATATATAAAATAACCAATATATCTCGTATATTATAAATTTATCGAACATATACTATTTTAATAAATAGTATATATATATATATATGAAATTTTATTATAGTAGTAATGTAACTTTAAAGAATAATAATAAACTTTTATATAATAAACAATTTAATAAATAATTAAAAATAAATGGTTATAATAGTATTTAATAATAGTAATGTTAAAACAGATAGTATAAATATATTATATTTATTATAATAAAGTAATTATAATAATAAACTTTGATACAATAAAAAATTTATAAAAATAAAAATAAAAAAATATGTAACAGTGAAACCAAAATATATAATAAAACTTCTAAACAATTCATTAAATAATATTAATATAAAAATAATAATAGCATATGAATACTAAATTTTTTGAAAATAATAATGAAATTTTTTTAACTATAATAATAATCATTTTTAGATCAAATTAAATAAAAATAAAAATTTATAAAACAATTTATCAAATAATTAATATAAATAATTATAAGTACGTAATATTATAATAATATTAAAAAAAAAATTAGTATAAACATATAGCATTTTATAAAATGAAATTATTTTTAGAAAGAACAATTAATTTTTATATAACAAACAATTTCTATTATGAAAATAAAAATATAATTTATTCAACAAGTTATTAAATAATAAAAATAAATAATTATAACCGTATATAATATTATAATAATAAAATTAGTATAAAAAAATATATTTTATTTTTAACAATAAATTTTTATGAATAAACAATTTAAAAATAACAATAAAAAAGTAGATATGTTACAGAAAACAAAATAAATTTTATTAAACAATTCATTAATAATAATAAATAATTATAAAAGTGATATAATGATAGTAATAGATAGAATATAAAAATATTTACAAAAAATAGTATTCAAAATAAAAAAAAATTTATATTTATTTTAAATAAAATTTTAGTATTAAAATTAAAAATGAATTGTCCAACAAAATTTTTTGATTATAATAATATAATTAAAGAAAGTGTATTCTACTAAAAATACTTTAATGATACGAAATTCGGAAAAACTAAGTGCTTTTCCAATAAACTTTTTAATTGTACGACCAGAAAATCTTCTAATTTCTCTGAATTGTTCAGCACTATTTAAAAGTTTTTAGAAAAAGTTAACTACATTGATATTGAGCTTAAAACTAATATAAAAACAAAAAATTATACAGAAAAAAAATTTATAAATAAGAAAGTATTTTTTTTAAAAACATAAAGTAGAGGATCTACACAGATTTATATAAAATTCAAACATAAAGTTTAAAATAAATAATTAAAATTACAAAAAAAAAATCTATCAATATCTTCAATGAACGTATATAGTCCCAAGGAAATACAAAACAAAACTAAAAATCAATGTCATTTAGAGTATTAATTTTACTAGTTTAATTATTATAAAATAAAACAAAAGATAAAATTTACCAAACTATAAACATTAGAATTCATTAAATTGTTCAATTATTGATTTAAATTATTCTAAACTTATAACTAATATTTTATAACTTAAAGTGCACAAGTAACATAAAAAAAGTTATTCAGTAATTAAAAAAAAAAGCATCCAAATTTAGTTTAATATTTCTTTTTATTTATAAAATTAACCAGTAAAAATCTTACAATCCTTATATTAAATTTATAAAAACTGATATATTACTAAAACACAAAAAGTTTTTAAGTTAATATACAGAAAGAATTCAGTCAACAATTTTAAAAACTAAAATAAAAAAATTTAACATAAACAACTTTAATGACTAACTACACTAAAACAAGAAAAATTTAACATTTATATAAGACTATAAACTATTAATTACGAGAATATGCACAAGTATTATTAAAAGTTGTTTTAAAGAATAACCTATTAAATATAAGTAGAGTCTTTAAATTATATACGGAAAGTATAAAATAAACTACTTTTAAGAAAGTAAAGGTTTCTGATTTACATAAAATCTTTCACAATAATTTTATGTTTACCCCTTCGAGTCTGATCTCCAAGACGAGATTTAAATTTTACGAATTTCTATATAAAAGCAAATAAATGTATATAAGTTGTGCTATGTTAATTTACTTTTGCTAACCTAATTAAAGTTAAAAAACACCCATTTATTGGGTATTAAAATTTGTTAACCGCTTAAAATTTAATAAAACTTTTGACAGTTTATAAATGGTGCAAAACTAATTTGCTTGTGATTATTTATTATTATAATAAACTAAAAATTTTAATTATTAAATTTAAATTGCTGATCAACACTTTAATATACTTAAAGAGCACAGCAGAAACAGAAAAAAAAATGAAAGTATAGCTAATCTTTTTGAAAAATATTCGACGTTCCAGAAACTAAAATTTATATATATTTGCGCAAACCATATATTATAATATAGAAAATCAAAATAACTAATTAAAAGTAATATTTATACTGTCTAAATTTAAAACAAATAGATTTAATTTTTTTATTAACTTCAAATTATTTTATCCGTCCTCCAACATGATAAAAAATTAACAATAACTAAAACGGATCTTTTTAATTTTCAAAATAATGATTTTTTTTCCCTTTATCACAAAAATTTAAAAAAAACCAAACTATTAATTACTATAGGATTAAAAAAAGGTTCAGAAGGTTTAAAGGAAAGTTTTGCTTCAACTTCACTATTTTTTTTAGTGTCAATAACTAAAAGTAATTCTCCTGCATTGAAATTTTTATTATAATAATAAAAAGTAAAAAGAATTAATCTTAGCGGACCCTGAAAATGTAAATCAACAAGAGTTAGTTCTACTGGAAGAGAAATAAAAGCTTCTTCTATAAATTTGAGCATTAATTCTGCGCTAACAGTAATAAAAGCGTTTCCTTGAACGTATATAATTTCTATGTTAAATAAATATATAATAGAATAAATTAATTAAACCTTCGTAACTTATTTGGAAGGTAAATTGAATGGCCTTTTCGGATTTTATGGTATTAAACTCTATATGTTCTTGAAATGAAGGCTTAAAAAAAAATATAGGTCATAATGCAAAATAAGTTAATCAAAACTTTAACCGATTTAGAAGAAAAAAAAGGTTCATAAGGGTCTGAAATGTCAATAATTTTTACTGAAGGCGGCACATCTAAGATAGAAGTAGTTAAAAAAATTAAAAAAGTAATAAAATTTTTAATAAAAATTCTATAAGAGTAAAAGAACTACCGCCGAAAGACATGTTTTTGATGGTCAAATATTTTATAGGTTCTGGAAAATCCAAGTTACTTATTTTTTCATTAATTAGTGTCTTTTGATTTATAGTATTTTATTAGTAAAGTTTTTTTAAAAAAAATAAAGTGCCCAACAATAGTTAATTGCTTTACATAAAAGATTAAACCAGATGTAAAAAGGTTATCGACATATGAAACAAATAAATAATAATAACTATTAATATACTCGAAGTCTTTCGGTCTCAAGAGCTGTAAATTTATTCCAATTGAATAAAAAGCTCATATCGTTTCTTTACTTAACTTCAACGTACAGCAGTTTTTATAAAACTATTAACAAAAAAAGTGCTTGAGTGCACTTCGGTATTATCGGCTACAACTTGCGCCAATTAAACTGTATAATTAGCTTTGGTATTTTTGAGTTTCTATTATTTATTTATTTATTTACTTTAAATGTAATTATTAAGACCACTAACTAGTGTAGTTACTTAATATTATATACGAGAAGTTTCTTTAAATTGTAGGAGAAATAAATTTGAAGGATTTTAAAAATTCATGTAATATTTTTTTTTAATATTCTTAAGGGATTAACTTTGTATTATAAATAATATTCAGCACTGTAAATGAAGTTAGTAAAAGGTTATAACGCTCCGTAAAAACGCAATCTGAACATAAAATCTCTCTATTAAAATACCTAGTTTCTTGAAAAATTTTAGTTTTCTAGTTAAAATAAATTATAAGAGTATAGTCTACGAAGTATTCAGCTGCTCATAGTTTTGATGGTGAGATCTCCCTATGACCGCTACTGTGGAGCCTTTATCTTAAAAAAGCACAAGTTGTATTCCTAAAAAGTCCCAATTTTAATAAAGCTTTTAAACTTCAAATAGTTAATTTACCTACAAAGTATGCCAAGGGGCGGATATTAAAAAACTATTGACTAGATATCTGTCAAAACGATTGAACTTTCGCCTTCACACTTACTTTAAATTCCTTTATTAATTGTCTTCGACTATTTAATTTCTTGAGCTATCCAACTTATTTTTTAAAAAGGGTTTTTGACTACCAACAAATGCCCACGACTTATAGGCTTAAAGCTCTGAACATGACTAAATAATAAACGTAAATCGTACAATGCTAAGCTTTTTTAGTCCATAAACTCTTAAGTCGTTATTATAGCAAATTTCTTGTGCTTCTGCATAACGCATTTTAACCACATTGATATGAGACAAAAAATTCAGTAATTAACACTTACATTAAATAAAGTTTAATCTACTAATTTATTAAATATTATTCTCTCTTATGTCCATTTCGCTACTTTAGGCCAATAAACAAAAATATAAGAAGTTAAACTGTAAGTAAAAAGCTTATTTTATTATAAAAAATAAGTTGAATTCATATTATATAAATAATATTTCCCGAGGAGGTTTAGACTCTAAGCAGAGCTAAGCATTTAACAATTTCAAAACCTACAAGTCTGGTAATTTATAAAATTAATAAAAAGAAATATTAATTTACATACCAACAAGGACTGCATGGGAATTACCAGGAGGAACTGTTTCACCTTTAATAATAGCATCAGCCCTTCTAAAATTTTAAAGCAAAGCAGTCAAATATCTGAAAAGTATAAAATCTAAAAAGTTTATTGCTGTTTTTACCTCATGAGTATTGGGCTAAAAATAAACTGATTAGTTAAAAACGAAAATGTAGCAATAGTCAAAGCTGTAAAGTTGGTAAAGCCAAAATGTGTAAGTTGAGACAGCCAAGCCGTAAATAACAAAAGCCACTCTAATCTGTATAGATAAGCAGATAATATAAAGATTTTCTATACACAGCTCACTCATATACTAAAATCTTTAAACAAGCAAATAAAAAATTATAATAACTTAATAACAAATATGAACCGAGCTTGAGATTTAAAGACGTGTCTGCCAACGTCAAAAGCTACTTTTTTTTCTAGTGTTTTAGCCTTAAACTTAGATCTGTAAGACTAAAGAATTAGAATAAATTTTAAGGTTCGGAATTCGTACAATACTTTGCCTCAATGGCAATAGCTATAGATGATCCTGCCCAAAATATGGCAAAGCTGTGAGGCAACGGTAAATATTTCTAGCAGGCGAGATGTAAAATAACTTAAAAGCAAACTTATATAGTATTATGAAGATAAATACGTGTAATAGGTCCATGCTCAAAAAGAAGACTTTATTATCAATAAAAAAGTCTAATAAGAAACATAAAAATTAAATAAAACGACCTAGTAAACTACTAAAAGTAATAATATTCAGCCAGAGACAAAAACAGTTATGAACCCGCAAAGTCTCAGATTCTTAAAAAATACGTTTTAGGTAGAATTTTTGCTTCCGTATACACGGGGCTTCACCCTCGAGGGCAATTGTCCCTAACGAACTAATTGTTGGGGCAAATAATTTCGTTATAACCTGGAAGCAGTAAGATTTATAAAAATTGTTAACTAGAATATATGTTTTATTACTGAACTACGCATCATACGTAACAAAAGATGTAATTTGACCTACAAAGTAATCAAATGAATTAAAAAAAAATGACAAATAGTTAGCGACTATATTTCGGGACAAAATCGATGTGCAGTTTAATATGGTGTTACATTTCCTTTTGCCCTGACAACCGCTGCTATTTAGGCAGGCATGGTTGCTGCAAAATATTCACAAAATTCAGAGATAGATTTAGTCCATATGTTTACCAGATTATACTTTCACTTTGAAATTGTTCTCTGAGGGGTATTTCTTAAATGCTGTGAAAAGAACAACCCAATTACAACTATTTACGTAACACAAAATAAAGGTTACCATACATGGAAATGGAATGTGAAACTATCACATGAACGCAATGCATAATTGCTCGAAAATAAATTTTATTTTCTGGAAATGTTTAATCCCAAATTAAAGTAAAAGCCAGTTTACAATATCGTTATGACAAGGCTTTCTGTGGTGCTGGCCAGTGTCTCCAGGGCGGCCTCGGTTTTTGTGCCCTAAGGCCCCCTCCCCCTGTGGCGTTTTAGCGGTTTTCTACACTAGGTTGAATAGGGGACTCCGGGTCAGATATTTTCCGCTTTTTCAGTGCTTCGGGACAGTTATTATAACTCTATAAAGAGCGTACACCGGTGGGCACTTGTGCTCCAACCCCTGCAGAAGAGGGGAATTCAGATTAAGTGGCTTAAAGTCTCAAGAAGATCGGCCGTAGTATGCAAGTGCTAAAAAAAAAACTTAAGTAGTTATTGGTATTCAGGGGATTCCCTCTAATGCGTCTGCGCTTTTCTGCTAGTCGATAGGCTAAGTGAACTATTTTCTTTCTTGAACTTTATACATATCTTCCTTATATCTTACAACAATAAATAAAATATATACTTTTCTTTGCCCTACAAATATATGTCTTAACAGTAGCTGCTTCATCTTTTGCCACAGTGTAGATGTTTCTATAATTTTAAGATCTGGGCCCTGACAAACGGGGACCCTCTTTTCAGAGAGCTATTTTGTGACTTGAATTTTTGACAAAAGGTTCCTTTTAGTTAAAAAACACGATTTCCTCGGTATATAGCTTGTTAATACCCGGAAGGACTATTTAGCACGTGTTCTTCGTTTGTTCCACATTTTGTACATCGTATATTTTTCCCTGAAGGTATAAATACCTCCCCTCACGGGGCAGTAATCGATCTCTCCTCCTCTTTTTCTCCGTCGTGGCCCAAGCCATTCACTGATATACAGTTCCAATTTATCACCCCCTTTAAAAAATTTACAGTGCTTTTAATGCAATCTGCACGAAAAGCTTAATTTTTTGACCTTTTAACTCGTTTCCGAAAATCTCTCACCCAAACATCGAATTTTGGTTCGACACTAAAAATAATTTTTGCCCAGTCGTCTACAGTTTATGACAATTTAGATTTCGCTCATGTCTAATTTCTATTTTGTATTTGGGTAAGAAGTGGTCCTTTAGCCTTCGTGTCTTAGGTTGTAAGAGTACACAATATTTATGCCAAACTTAAAAAATTTTAGTCCAGCTTTGTGTATCCATTACCTACAACATTCACTAGATAATTTTAGACCTGATCTTCATTTCATTGTGCAGTCGCTCTCGTACATATTCACACTTATATGAGAGATCGTTGGTTTCTTGAGGGAACTAGCTTAGGGCGGCATGGACTTCAACCTTTAACTGCAATGTTTAAAAATTCAGCAACCTGACGATCGGTATTGCGTTGGCAATAATGTTAGACGATTATTTTATGCACATCTTTGTTACTGGGCCTTGGACAATTTTAATGACTAAATTATACAGAGTTACCAAACGAAATTATAGGCTGTTTAGATGAAGTTTTTTTTTTGTCATTTATTGCAAAGTCAACTCCATTATAAAAATTAACTAATTCTAATATAAGCTTGTAACAAAAATTAGTTGTCAACCTTTTTTATACCGAAAAGAAACAAGTTCATTTAATAATAACAAATTATGGAAATATTATGTTTTTTCCGATTTATAATAGATATATTAATACATAAAGCGTTAGATCTCCCCGAAAACTGTGTTTATATGAAAGTTGTTTTTTTATTACAAATTAAATAAAATGAAATGCTTGTCCCAGCCTTTAGTCGTGAGGGCTCGTATATGAAATGTCTCGCGCACAACGTTCTTATCTATATTTGCTGTTGAGGTTAGTGTTTAAGTGGTGAGCGTTGTGCTACTCAGGCTACTTGAAAGCAATCAAATAAATTATCACAGCCTTTCTCAATTTAACCAACTCTGTAGTGTATTTCTTTGTAATATATATATTAGTTTTTCAAGGATTTTAGTCTGTAAGATCAACACTCCGAAAAACTAAATTTTTTACCTTTCGTTAAAACATATTAAAATTCTACCTTATTAAGTTCTCTATATAAGCAACGCTGCCCACCAACAATACCACCAAGGAAATTGAGGTTAATTGCATTAAACAATATTAATAAAGCTTCTTTAAAATGTATAAATACAACCAAACTGGCTTGTTAACAAAAAAGGCTAATTTTTTTTTGCTTCTTTCCTTTTTTTTAAGAAATAAATTTTCTAAGGAATAATTTGGAAACAACTTTAAACTCGCTCCTTTTGTTTAACAAAAAATTGCGTGGACAGCGCAAATAGACAGTAAACGAACCTTTTTTTTAAAACTTTTTAAATTTAACCTTAGTTATATATTGGGTGAGAAATTAATGAAAGGAGTGTATTCTGCAATTATCAAAAGAAAGGAGAGCTAAGCTGCGTCGAAGTAATTTCAACTTACAAATCCAAGTTGCATTTTTAACTTTTTATTAGAAACAGTGATTGAAATTGTATTAAAAGAATATATATAAGTATAGAAATGAAAGAGAATAATAATAAAAGCAAAAGACTAACTAAAAAATTAGAATTACTCCAAAATGGCTATGCATATTCTTGATAATAGCATTACTATTTATACTCTTTATCTATAAATGAAAATTTATTAATTATTATTGATCTTTCTTCTCTATTACCTTTTGTTTGTGTGAAATATAGTCAATTATACTATAAAAATGTTATTATATTTATTTATTAGATCTATATAATACGCCTTTTTATTTTTTTAATAAAACTTTTATAATCTTATTTCTGCGGTTGCTAGGTATATAAATTAGTAATAAAACAAGTTGGAATTCCAATAACCTTTAACCTAGTTTTACACACCGCAGCTCTATCTATGGCCCAGCATTATAAGAGCTAACAAAATTATTGATTAAAAAGGGTGTGGAAAGTTTGATTAATAAAATTATATTATGTGAATAAATTGGTTAGGTAAGAACACACATTATTGAACAGTTTTCGATTTGTAAATATACTCTTTACGAAAGTTTAAGGTATAATTAATATTTTTATAATATTATGTATACCATTAGTGGAAAATGTATACGGGCTACGTCAAATAACCTAAGTGGTTAGCAAAACTAACTGGCTCTCGAATACATAAAGCACCCCTGCGTCAATTACTTTAATAATAAAATAATAAATGATTGAGGGACTCTCGGATCCTTTCTTTCTTGCCTGTTTTTTTGTTTTTTTTATAATACGAAGAATGTGGGTTAAGACCTTGTATAACATAATGGACATGCCATTTTACCTTGTCTTTTTTCTTGTAAATAGACAATTATATGGGCTGGTAGGGGCTCTAAAGCTTTGGCTAAGTTCGCCTTTCTAAAGTACACCTACACAGATTGATTAATTAAAATTATAGACTCGGTTGAGCTATGTACCCGAAGTTCTCTCCGCAAGGAGATAAACTCGGAACATGAAGGGAACACAGTGTAAGGTAAGAGAGGTACATAAAAAAAAGAATAAAAGAAATACTAACTGATTGTACTCGCAACGGAACAAAAGACGAGAACAAGTATACAGAATCAACTTTTACTCAATTAGCCAATAATATATAAATATTTAATAATAAATTAAGTATAATCAACATTAACAACATCGAGTATGCATTCCGTCTACCTGAACGCTTTTTTCTTGTAACTGTTTACTCGACGTTTTTAATGTTTTTAAATTGACGGGGGAAAAAAGAGGATCAATCTGTTGTCCCGTGGAGGAAGGGTATTTATACCTTTAGGGGAAGAAATACAAGATGTACAAAATGTGAGAGAGACGTAGAAACACGTACTATGAAGCACATGATATATAACACGCGATATCTAATAAGATGAACATGCGGTATAATAAACACATGGTATATGTACCACGTGGTATAAGCACGTAATTTATCAGAGTTAACTAACATGAATTCAAAGGACTGGTCGGTTGACAGTGAAAGCAAAGCGTGCACAATTAATACATCTAAAAAAAATAATTATACATACCACAAAGGACTATTTTTACCTACTTATAAATAAGAATATAGAAAGGCAGCATCTGTACACGGGGACTCTCACCTCTATATGGCAAATGCGCGTTTAAATAAATATCAAAGATTAGAAAGATTTTTTTACGCGTGAATAATACCTTTAATCATTGAGCACCGTTGGCAACTCACGATCCTGGCTGATCAATTAAGTATACCTTTTGTTATACCCCGTAATTTTTAAGGCCCGAGCTTATAACGTAAGAAAAATTCTGTTAGGGTATTAACTAGGCATTACTAAATTTGACATAGACCTTACATATATATTTAGTAAGAGGGTTCACAAATCATTTTAATACCACGTTTTGAAAAATTAAAAGTTAAAAAAGTAAAACATCCTTCACTCAACTTTATAATCTAATAATTAAAAATAATATTAGCCTCATTTAGTAGGATATAGCCTTCAGATAATATTTTGGTTGAAAGTAAAATCTTCTAATTGTTTTCGTGAACATTTATGTTATGCGGTTAGTTAATAGAAAACAAGTTAACATAAATAAAAATTTCAGCCACTATTTCTAAATAATTATAAATAATTCTACAAATATATTAACGTAACTGATTTATAACCAACAACTCGCTGTCTTAAAAATAACGGAAATCTCACATTTACATATATAATAACTTTTACTAACGCTGAATTTTATACTAGAACTGAATTGCAACAAGCATTATCTCAATTCCATCGAACTTTACAATTTTGTTTAATTAATCTTTATTAATTGATAATTTGTATAGAAATTACAGGAAACGACATTACCCCTTCAAAACCTTGAAGCTATTTTACTATCTTAAGTTAACACAAGTGTCTCTAATACTCTATCAAATTTATATTATTTCAGAAAGCAGAATATAATAAGATAAATAAATATTTGAGTTTCAGCATGTTTATTTACTTTAAGGGACATAATGCGTTTATACTTATTCAATAAACTCAACTGTTCGCTGTGGTAGATCAATTATCATATTTCAGAGACGATTACTTTCCTATTTTTTTTTAATGAAAAAGAACAAGTCGAGAATGTTAGCTCAGCGAAATGATATCGTTTGTTAAACAGAGACGGAATTAAAAAATTTTACATAAAACGCAAGTAATTTAAGTTACTCAGGAGGGGAAAATAAAAAAGAAGGTTGACGATCGTTGTATTTTTTGGTTGTTAACATAATTTTATATTATTTTTAGACTCAATAAAGTTTATGGGTTACTTTGCACTAAGTTTATAAGTTTTTTATTATTAATTACTTTTATGTTTATAGTCAGAAATAGTCTAATAGAAACCTCAAACAAAAAGAAAATGCTAAGGACAGTTTCAGGTTTCGTCATGTGTTTTTCAAAAAACAATTAGAAACCTAATTAAAAAAAAATGGTCTAAAAAAGAAAATCTACGCAGTAAACAGATTTTTTAACAACAAAGTAATGAGTAAGCAGTACAACCTTCAACCCTTATTATAACACAACATATTGTTATAAAAAAATTTATAATAAAAAAGTAAAAAAGATGTTCTTTATTGTATATACATCCACCGTTATCCAAAGTTTGATTGAAGAGTAATAAAGAAACCAAGTAATAAATTATAATCGCGGTTTCCAGGAAACCTTAAGCTACTTATACAACCTTTTTTATTGGCCTAACACTGTTTTAGTAAATCTTAACAGCAGACTAGAAATACTTCGCTTTAAACTCTACTAATATTTACTGTTATAATAAAAACGTATTTGTTTTAAATTTCCAACAGTACATGTAGTAAAAAATGCAAAATTTTTCTGATACGATCAGTTTAAAGACCCTTAGTGCTCACGAATTTGCAAGAAAGTATCTTGAGGTCCTCATATTATTACTAGGAATTTTATAAGTCAAACTATAATACCTGTTATTATTAAATTAAGGATACTTTAGCAGAAATTAAAAAAGTTAGTACTGTAAGTGAAGATAATATTATTGCTAACTTTGCGGAAAAGTGGACACTTTTCTATATTGGGGAGTCGTTAGCCAAATTAAAACGCCGGCTTAAAGGTGTTTTAGTGTAACTATAATAATTATTATTAAATTCAACCTAATTATTTAGTTCATTTGAGAAATGAAGTTGTTCTGGACATTTGTGGGAAAATATTTGATGATCAAGACACAATATATCGTTGCTTGTTCGCACTTTTATACTTGTGAAAAACGATAATTTATATACTTTTTTTTATTAACAATAGGGAATGTGAACGGGATACTACATGCGTTTTATGTTCCCTATGTTTTGATAACTCTGAGCATAAAAATCATTCATTTCGTGTTTATAAAAGTGTAGGGGGTAAAAAATCATTTATTTTTTTTTTTATTAATTTTTTTTTTAAGTATTTGTGTACAGGAGGTTGTTGCGACTGTGGAGATGAGGATGCCTGGAAACTTTACTCAAGTTTTTCTTATTATACTCAATTTAGTTTTCTTTATATATATTTATAAAAAAGATTGCACACTTCATTCCAAAAAGTACACGAAAACTTTGCGCAGTAATATTAATGACGAAATTAGCGACACTGTGGTGGATTTTTTGTTAGACTCCGTTAGGTTATTATTTTATTTATATTAATTCTTTTTAGAGAATATCAAGTTTTGAAATAATTACTTTAATTTAATAGTTTTGAAGTAAAATGACTTTTTTATAACATTTATTTTTTTAAATATGCTTTTTCTCTTCGGAATTTATGTGCATATAAAAAATATTTTTTTAAATTTATTATTATTTTTATTAATGATGAAATATTTTTTAAAGTTTTTATTTATTATTGAACTATTTTTCTTTCTACTTTAATAATGACAATATCTTCTTTTTTTAAAAACTTTACTTCTACATTTTTTAGGATAAGATTTTTTTCTCGTAAATATTAATTTTATTCAGAATTTAATATTCATTTATTAACTTTGAAAACAACAAATTTTTTAAAATTTTAGAAAACTTCAAGCTTTTATTATATAAAAGAAATTATTATTTTATCATAACATATATACTGAAGTTTTGCCTTTCTTTTATGTTTTGTTTTATTCATATTTAAAATAGTTTTATAAGAAATTTAAATAGAAAAGAATTTTTTTTAATTTTATTGTTTCAAATTCCAAAGTGGAAATATTATAATATATTATAGTTGTATATATACTAAATTTTTGCTTTTTTTATTTTTTTTTAAATTGAATTATAAATTAGAAAGAAATTTCTTTCATATGTAGATTAATTGATGTTTATTACTTGAAGGTTTGTGTGCTACTATTTGGGCTTCAACATTAAATTTCTATCAGAATTAAAAATTTTGACTTCCGATGCTTTAATCAGCGCTAAACAAAATTCTCATAAAGCAGAATCTTCTGCAAACTCTACTATAACTGATTCTAAAGAAGTTAGAGAAGTGTATTTTTTTTTTAATTTAAAATTATAGAATTTTTTTAGAGATTTATTTAATTTTTTACTTTAACAATGTGAATTGATTAATACATATATATATACATATATCTTTTCAAAAGTAATTAATATAAAATTTATTATGCAGGAAAACAAGAAGTAAAAGTAAACTTGAATCTTTTAATTTTGCCGGTTATCTTTTTTTTTTTAAACTTTAAACGCTGCTAATAAATTTTTGTTAAGGGCTTTTTTCTCACGAGGACAACGACGATTTGTTTTGCGTTATAGTTTATAACGATGAAGTAAGTTAATTTACTGTTCCAAATTTGGATCTTTATAGTTTCAATTTTTTTTTAATATAACTATTATTGAAGCTAATTCTGTTCTGCGTTAGTGAAATTAATTAATTTTTTTTATCTTGTGTTGAGTTCTTTTTGGGCTTAATTTGAAATTTAATTTTAAATTTATTAGTCATTTTAGTAAAATATAAATTAATTTTTATTTTGTTTAATTTTGTTTGCCTTCGATGTTACTTTATAAATTTTTTAAATTTACTTAACTTTATTATATATTTTTTTTAGCTTTTTATTGTACTATTTATTTTTGTTAATATAAAATTTATCTTATTTATTAGATACATAATTTACTACAAGTTTATTTTTTTAAAGTATTTATAAATTTTTTTCCTATTTACTGTGAAATATTTATAAGTAAATTAAAATTTTTTTTGATCATAATTAACTTATTTTTCATTATTTTTTTTGAGGTTCACTCTTTTACGGAAGTGATTGAAGCCTTTCAAGTGGTTGGCTGTTCTTATGAAGATGCAGACAGTCTCGCTAACGAGGTTGATAGAAAAGGAAGAGCAATGGTTTTTTTAGGTTTTTTTTTTATAATAAATTTCTTTTACTTTATTATATCAACTTTATTTTTTTCAGTTTTTTAATAATAATGATATTAAGTGTTTGTATATATATTTTTTATTTCACGATTTTTTTTAGATCTCTAAAAATATTACATTTATTTTTCATTATCAAATTTAGTTTACTTAATACTATCAAATCTATAATTTAATTGTTTTATGATAATTTTAATAGTTTTTATTTTTTTTAATTTAAATGATTTTATTTTAAAATATTATTTTTTACGATTTACTGAAATTTATATTTATTTTGCTTTATTTGTTTTCTTTTTTGTTATAAATTTCACTAAAATTTTTTTTTTGAATAATATTAACTTAATTTTATTTGATTGGTTGATAATAATCTTAATAGTTATTATTATTACTTGATTTGTTTTTAGATCTTGAAAAATTTAATTATATTAATCTGTTACTTTAATGAGATGTTTCTTTTATTTGTTTATAACCTATAATTAGTTTTAATACTTTTTTATTTTATTACTATTTTTTAACTCTCTTTAATTTATGATCAAATTAAATTTATTTTTTTTATTAATTCTTTATTATAATTTTATTTTTATAATTATATATTATAAATAAAATAAACTTTGTTCAAGTTTTAAAGAATATTAATTATTATTATTTTTACTTTTAATCATTTATGCTAATCCAGAATAATTATTACTTTTTTTATAATATTATTTTTGTAAATTTCTTATTTTGAAGTTTTTATTATTTTTTTTTCTATTAATTGTAATCAAACTTATTATAATTATTAATATTAATATTATTATATATATTTGGCATAAATATTAAAATTTTATTATTGTAGGTTTTTTATTATTTTGTATTATTATAATTTTTTATTATTATAACTTAATTAAATCTATTTTCTAAATAATACAAACATTTATTTTTTTTTAGTATAACAATATATTATACCGCTTCTTTTTTTGTTAACTTTTACTTAGCTTTTATAATATATTTATTATATTTTTATTTTTATGTAACTCAATTTAAATAGTATTTATTATTAATTTGATTTATTTTTATAAATATTTTATTTTTTTTTTAGTTTAATTTAGATATATTTTATATTTTTTATACATGTTTTGATTCTTAAATAACTTTTTAGCTCTTTACTTTATTTTGTAAACTTTGCGTTATTATAACTCAATATTATAATTACTACATAAAATTTGCTATAAATTTTTGCTTTATTTTTATCTTCGTTGTACTTTTTTTGTACTGTTTTAAAGGTTTGATAAAAATATATATTTAATTTAATTTTTTATATGTAAAAAATATTCCCTTTACTAATTTATAATATGACTTTTTACTCGTCACCTAAAAATTCTAAAAAGTATAAATATTTCTGTTTATGTACTTTACTATTTTTTATTAACTTATTATATATTTAAACTTTTTTTTATAAAATTTACTATAATAATAAAAAACAAGTTTTGTATAGCAGTAATATACTAATAATAGTAACTTACAAAGTTTTATTATTTTTTAATTTTCTTATAAGCTTATATTTTCTTAATTCATATAGAAAATTACTTTATATTAAGAATACAATATTATTTTTGTATCCTCAGAATTTATTTATAAGTTTTACTATTAATATAATATTAAATAAATTTGTTTATACTTTCTTTTTTATTATATAATTGATTTCATAATAACTTTTTTTATTTTATAATTTTATTTATATAAAAAATTTATATGTACTAAAAAAGATGTATTGTGTTTACAATATTTGCATGTTTTCTTTTTTTTAACAGAACTTAATTTTTTTTTATTTTTCGATACATAAATTATATAATAATAATTTTTTAACATTTATATTTTTAATAATAAAAATTAATAAATTTTTTTATTTTATTTTTTAATAAAACTTAATTTATTGTTTTTTGTATAAAGATTATTTTCCTTATAAACTTCTCTTTCAAATGGCTTATTATATATTGCGTTCTTTGCATTATTTATTTCTTATTCGTATATTTTATTTTTCATTATAAATATTATTTTAATACTTAACTTTATTTTTTAATTTTTTTTACTTTAATATAAGGTATGTACCTTTTTTTCACATTCATAAACCATATCTTTTTTTTTTTCAGAAACTTTATAAAAGGCTATAATTTTTATTTTTCTACTTTTTAATATATCAACTTTTTTTTTTAGTTATAATTTTTTGTTATTATTAAAAATAGTATTATTTATTCGTAAACCAAACTTATTTTTTTATTATGAATAATAGTTTTTTTTACATTTTTAACTACTTTTTTGTTTTTTTTTTCACGATTTATTATAAACTATGTAACTTTTTATTTATTATATATAATGTTATTAAAATATTTTTCATTTTTAAACTTTACTATAAACTATCTAACTTTTATTAATTATATTAAATAATATTATCTTCATATTCGTAATTGTTTCTTTATTTTTTTGTAAACTTTATTTTAAAAAAAATTATTTTTTTATGTTAATATTATATATAACTATTTTTGAGGGCCCATGTTTGAGTGCGAAGTAAAAAAAAATCTTCTTAATAAATACGAGCTTCGAGTTGTTATTATTAATACTGTTATTGTTTGTTATCAACTTGCAGGTAATTTTTTATATATTTATATTTTTATAAACAAAAAGTTTAAGAAAAAAAATTAAAATAATATTTTTTTTGAATAAATATGAAAATAAATTCTTAAATTTTTAATTATAAAACGCATAAAGTGTTATAAAAATATTTTTATTAACATAATTATTTCTATATAATTATCTTTTTAATATAAAAATTTATAAAGAGTTTATAATTAATATGAAGACTATTTTTTATTATTTATAATCTTTTTAAAAAGTAAAAGTTTATAAAAAAAAGTTTTTTTAACGAAAATCTAAAAAATATATTAACTTTAATATTTTATAGTAAATTTTTTAATATAATATTTATTATTAATTTAAGAAATTTTTTTTAAGAATTTATTTCTTAATTATTATTTATATAACTTTTATAATTTTTTAATGTTACTTATTATTAATTTGAGAAGATTATGAATAATTTTTTATATTACTGTTTATTTATATAATTTTTATAATTACTTAATAACTTTACTGTTATAAATAAAAAATAAAAACTACTATTATATTTAAAGTTATTTATTAATTTTTTAGTTATAAATTTTTTTACGTTTTTATAATCTATTAATAAAAAGTAAAAGTTTATATATTACTTTTATATTTATTAATATTTATAAGTAAAAAAAATATAAAAACATTTTTGTTATAAATAAAAAAAAAAAACTTTGAAAGTTTATATTATTACTATGTTTTGTATTCACTTAAAGTTAAATATTATAAAAGGTTTTTATAAATTTTTATATATATGATTTATTAAAGTTTTTTATAAGAAAAATCTAAAAAACTTTTTTTTTTTATAAAATTAATTATAAAAATTATATATTATTTCTATTAAAAAAACATAAATTTTGCTTTTTATTATTTATTAATATTCATTATAACTTTATTAATATTTATTCATTCATTAATTATTTTTTATTTCTATTTCATATTTTTAAATATTATAATTATTCCATTTTAGTTTATCATTATAATTACAATTAACTTATATTATTTTCTTAGTATTTATTATAACTTTATTATTATAAATTCATTACTTTTTTTTTATTCCGCAAACTTTTATTAATGAATACAATTTTTTTTAATATTTATTTTACTTTATCAACTTGTTAGCCGCATCGCTGGCGAATATGCTACTTGACTTATCGGAAACTTCTATTACTGTTCAAACCTTTATAAACTATTTGCTGATGAACAACGTCCCCGAGCTCGGTTTTTATATAATAATAATAAAAGTAATAAATAATAATGAATGATAATATAAAAGTCTGTATTAAATAATGATAGTGATAATAATAATAATATAAATATATCTATACTCTAAATAAAAAAGTAAAAATATACCTTTCCTTTACTTATAAAATTTTTTTTAGAAACTTTAATAAAATTT